TATTTTATACTGACGTCAATTGGTGACAAATAATTATGTTCAATTTATACAAGAATATTCATTAGTTATATATCAGAAATAAATTTGTAGATGTCAATCTAAATGTTACCATAGTGATTACATTATTCTATATTATATGTATTCATTATATATGCAACATAAATATTTCATGATCATAGTGCATTCTTTTTATGGATTTACTTCAAACTGAACCTCAACCACCTTTTATTTCCAACCACTGTTACTCTTTTGATTAGTTTTTCTTTGAAGATTACGTGATTTATTGATAGTGATTCTTTATTGTTTAAAGATCTGTGTAACCGGACATTGTTTAATTTTCTATGCTCTGTCCTATGCATTCAGTTTTATTGGATTATTATGCGGTTAGAATATCATTACAACATTCATTTTTTCAACATTAAAAGTGTCTTATTCAAGATTTTATATTTCAACATTACACGCTGTTATCACTTGGTATCTAAATGTTATATCTTCAACTTTTAGTCCAATACATATTTAGTCCTGTCAAGACAGTTTTGGGTCACTTAGATCGATTAACTTTATAAGACTATGTAAATTCACTTGAATTCATGTGCTCTAAATCTTTCATATATGGAATATTTTGTATCAATAAGACGTTGTAACTAAAATCTTTTACAAAGATCAGTTTATATGAAGTATCGACCGATAAGATAGGTTTATTTACTTTTAGAACAAAACTCATCAATACTTCTCAGACGAATTAAATTTACACACAAATCGATTGAGTGAGAGAGATTTCGACATTATCAACCATAAAGAACACATGCCAATAGATAGTAATGACGACACAATGGTGAATGTATCATAATGATTGTTGCCCTAATATTGATGACCTTAGTTGATATGTCCAATTTGATAGTAGTTAAAACGTTTATTTCCTAGTATCAAACACACTGACGTTAACTATAATATCAATAGTCATGTAAATACAGTCAGAAATGAATTAGGAAAATTCTTGCTGTAATTGAAAGATGGGTGGTGGGGCAAACGGAGATTCTTTATGAAAGCTACGAGTCAAAAGCCTGGACAATAAAAAATGTCTCAGAAATTAATATTATATCATCAAAATGGTCCACGTTGGACCAAATCGTTTCAGAGAATAAGTTCAGATCTTTGCTTCTGTATCAATATATTATTGTTCCATTCGATACCTATTAAAGAAGCTACAAATGGGCTTACTAAATGACCAATTAAAAGGTTGGATGTAGTTAGCAGGAAGCACTAAACATAGGTCTCGTCCTAGCTGGTACTCATCAACAAGGCTCCTGAGTAATCGATTTAAACGGAATGCTAATATATGTGAGATTAAAACTCAAATTAACCAGTTTCACCCTCGCAAATTACACTACTGACCTATTCAAGATTCGACTGACCTTTTTCAGGATTGCGGTATTTACAGTTGTCCTATTAATTAGTAGTAACCAATCTCTGAATTCGTTTAGCAATAACGGATAAACAAACATGATATTCGTCATTGGCCAGTGACCAAGCAATCACAACTAGCAAACCTCTATGTCTAACATATATACATTTTACATTTACAGACAGTCTTACATAATTCACTGTCAAATTCTGTCACGAGTTGATGATTTCTATTTTTCTCTCCATCTTACAAAAAACTGTAATTTCTCAGCATCAACGAACTAAATCAGAACAAAGTTAGCAGTGATATATATATATATATATATATATATATATATATATATATATATATATATATATATATATATGCGCGTGAGACTGATAAATCATGGGTTCGTAGATGCGCACCGCTGAATATATAATTAGAAAGTTAATTGACCTTGCCGTTGAGAAAGTTTGAATCATAACTGCCAAACCACATCAGTTTTATTTCATACCCTAATATATGTGTGAATGCAACTTGTACACACATAAATTTAAATGGCCATCAGCATTTGCCTAATTGTTTGATGAGATATAGCGCAAACACTTAAACTCATGTTATGCCGCTAAATTCGCAGTCATATGTTTAAATACGTTTAAAAGTAGACGATTGACTAACTAGATCATAGATCAATAATGAAACAAAGGATTCATTTTCTAAATAGAGGCAAACTTTTATGTTATTTAGTGATTAACAGATGGTCGACATTTTGATTATAGTTATCATCAGTATAGAAAACTGAATGAACAACTGACGGTTCACTAGTAAGCCTGAGCATCTAGCACTTATCATTCTTTTTAACTGTCCTGGTGAATGCACACTCTATAGTTTGCCCACAGCCTACCAAAAGGTATGAAGCAATCAAGAGCGACTGCCGTCGACCACACGATCACGTTAAATGACTAAAGCTGGGAAGCATTAGTTAATAAAGCATTATAGGGAGAAATATGTGGTGACCAGCAGTGAAATTCAGGACCTATGTTCCGTCCTATTTGGTACCCGTCAGCTAGCTATACTGACTTCCTAGATTTGATGTTCACTCTGGCATTCGAACCCAGTACTGTTCGCTTCAAACGCCATCAAGTTATCCACTTATCCCTTGAATTCATATAGCCACTAGCTTGTGCACTGAGGTCGGGTTTGATTCATTTTTGTATTGGTTGATATTATTTGTTGTTATTCTTTTTATTGTTTCGTCTTTTTTCAGTTAAATTATTTAATTTCACGTCTCTGATTGTCATTTAGATCTACAGTATCAATGACTGCTTTGTTTAAATTTCAACAAAAAAAGTCAATTATAATTCAAAGTCGATTTAGTAGCTAAGTGGAGAACGTGATGTCGTTTGAAGCAAACAGTATTGGGTTTTAGTACTAGAGCAAATATCAAATCTTGAATGTCAGTACAGCTAGCTAACGAGTCTTAAATAGAAGGAAACATATATCCAGAAGTTTACTGCTAGCCACTATCTATCTCTGTTTATAGTGCTTTGACTTCAGACACTATTGAAGCAATTCGCATAAAGTGCACATAATCCAATAAGTAACTGATCGATTGAGGTCCTAAACATCAGTAAGAAAATTTAAACAACCCATACAAAATTGAAATAATCTAATGAAGTTTCATGTGATATCTTTCCTTTTTTTCAGAAAGACTATAAAGTCTTTAGTTTTAAACACATATTAACTAAAATAAGGGTAATCATGTAACAGTAAGAAGTCCAAGATAGTTATCTATTTGTTATTATTTATTGATAATCACTTTAATAAATAAATTAACTTGTTTGAATATGTAGAAACGCAATTGACTTAAAAATCATTATCAGAAAGGGGTTCTGTGGATATTATAGTAATTAAAAGTTGAGATCATGAGTCAGTTGAAGCTAGACCACCATGGAAAACTTAAAAGCACTTGATGGCCGTCTCTCGAAATAGTAATTCACTGAACACAATGGTGAAAGTGTCGCTCAGTTTCATGAATTAGTTGACGTTAGACATTAACACTGTTGGATGATGGCTGGCTCAGTAGTCTAGAGATTAAGTGTCTGCGCGTGAGACTGATAAGTCATGAGTTCGTAGATGCGCACCGATGAAGAGTCCTACATTAGGACGAAACGGTCGTCCAGCGTTTCCAGGTTTTCCATAGTGATCTAGCTTCAATTGATTTACTGTCTCAACTATTAGACTAAAAATTATTGTCTATAAAAATAAAAAATGAAACACTGAATCACATTACAAATTTTCTCTAATTCATTAGTTACTTTTTTATATATTCAGAATTATAAGTAAATCAGCGTATGTGCTATCTCTCAAAATAAAATGTGCCATTATCCTGAATCATGTAATTATTTGATTCATTAGTTGGTCACTCAATTTTTTTCTAGTAGACATTATAGGAAAATGTTTGTATGTATTAGCTTAGATAAACAAATAGGACGAGGTCTTTATTGCAATTACTTATAATCTTATGTTACTAGTGAATAACTTTATTAACGTATGAATGTCTGTTTTTAGATACATTTAACAAGCAGTAGGTAGAGAAAAAAATACTGTTTTATTTGCATACTATTACAAAATTTTCTAAAGCAATTTCATTATGATATGTATGACTATGAAATGGAAATTCATTGCTTTGCAAAACAATAAACTTAAAGTAATTTCCCTTACGGATTAACTTTAGCTTGAGAATCAATAGAAACCAAGGCGCACAGAACAACTGTCACATTTTGTTTTAGAACTCTGTCAGGAATTATAGTCAGATATTTCATAGAGAGTATTTTACGACTGAATTGTGAATTTGGGATTTGGTGACTCATAATTCCAAATTCATTTGGTTCCGAATATAGCCGGACAATTGTACTAGGATTTTATAATCTAACAGTAGCTTTCCCACCACGAGCTCTGATGATTCTGGTTTAATCTCTGACAAATTCATGAGTGGATACTACTAAGGGTCTCAAGCTAGAAAAAAAAAACAATTGTTAAGTTCTTATCAGTTTTCAATAGTTCATTGGCCAACATCAAATTGAATTTCATGCAATTGGTTTCCTTTCTGAATTTGAATAGAGCAAGAATAAACATGGATGCAGAATAGTATGAATTCATAATATTTCAAGGTTTCTCGTCAGCTGCTTACAAACCAAAAATATGATAGCATTTTTTGTTTGTAAACAGCTGACGAGAAACCTCGAAATATTATGAATTCATATTATTCTGCATCCATGTTTGTTCTTGCTCTATTCAAATTGAATTATTGAACGTAAGTCACTCAACTCTGTGAAACGAATATCCAAAAGAACAATACGAATTATAAAGTGTATTATGCATAAAGAGTTACCAAAATTTGCGTTTTGCAGATTACATAGTGATCTAAAGTTAAGGAAATTATTTATTGTAAAATTTTATAGATCCGTGGAATATTATCTCAATGTTCAATTTTTAGTCCGCATTCATGCTGTATGATAACTGATGAATGATTTTCTGAGTTTTTTTTTGTATTACTGGTTAGTGTGGACAATACATTTAAAAAATGTATATTGAAATGTTTCTATTTTAGACTTTATCAATGTCAGTGAAACTTTAAAATATCCTTCAGAAAACATAAACAATAGTTCACTCTCAGTCAAACATTGTCTAAAAAATAGTTGTCAATCATCAAATGAAAGTTCATCATTTAAATTGAAAAATCATCAGTTTTTTCATCGATTTTTAAAATATTCATCAAAATTTGGTGGGTTTACAAAATCAGAAAATAATTCACCATGATTATTATCATCACCGATTCATCCAAATCCACAATCATTTAAAAATGCTTATACAACTAGATATGGTGCTTGGAATCCTGTAAGTGATTAATTAATTTTCTTTAATAATTAATACAAGCTAAACGTTATGTGATTATAATGATAATTAATTTTAATAATATTCAAGTTTAATATGATAAGTTTGTATTGAGTGAAAACTGTAATACACTGGTTAAATAAACGTGTTAATTACTCAGCTGGTAATAATCAATAAAATCTTGTTTAGTATAAATATTTCAACACAACAGCAGATCAATCATAGCCTAAATTGCCAAATGATAATGTTTCTAACAGTAATACTAGTTCGAATCCTAGTAGACATCTCTCTTCCTTAATGATAACATATAAATCTATACAATGGATTCCACCTATCATCAAACTTAGATTCATTATTTTCCTTCATCCTGTTATTAATATACTAACGTCAAACGTAAAAATATTTTATAAATATTTTCAATAATGTGGCAAACCAATCTTTTAAGTAATCACTAATCTTTCCTCTATTATAAAGCAAGAATTTGTTCATAGTCTCAGTTTATACTTCTGAAATTATCAAGAAGTTTACTAGGTAAATGTTTAATGACAATAAACTAAACTTGACGATTTACATCTTAGATAATAAAAAGTAGTGTAGTGTACCAAAAGTGAAAACGAACCAATGACATTTAAGGTTCTTCAATGTCGGAAACACAAACTAACTGTTAAAATGGGAGCCTTTGGTGTGGAAATGAGAAATTTAAGTTTCTATGATAAAATTACAAAAATGAGTTTACTAAGTAGTTTCTGGGGATATGACATTGCGACAGATACATAGTAGAACATGTGATATTATAAACATTTGCTCTCAAATAGTAGTGTAGTACTTCACAAAATGTTTGAAAAATAGTCGTGATCGTCGCTGAAAGTGAATTCAATGAGTCTCTAAGTATGTAATATTGTGGTATGTGCTACTGATATTGATAGATATAAATAGAATGTATCATCAATCGAGAGTGAAATACCTGGCAGTAGAAGGTTTAGAAGATCAAAGAGAAGAGAACAAGAACAGAGGGTGATTAGTGTGGAAAAGAAGAGTCAGTTAAGTCTACGACAATTGACTGACAGTTTGTAAATGAATAATTTACTGTATCCTTTGCAGATATTCTGTAATTTTGTATTTAACTACATTCGATTGTCCCCATTTGTATTCTTGTTCAGAACAACATGATGTCCATTTACATAATTAAAATTAAGTTTTTTATTTCGTTAACTAGTCAAAATTCTGGTACAGTCTATTCATTAAATTAGGTTATCACTTTCAAAATAACCGACAACAAATAAATTAAATTAGTTGTATATGGAAGCTTCCATTGATATGACGGTTAACTATCAATCCACAATGCATATATATATATATATATATATATATATATATATATATATATATATATATATATATATTTATATATATATAGTCCATTAGCTCTTATTAAATTAAATGCAATCCTTTAGCTAATAACATGCAAATTATGTCATTTTGACCTTAATTTTTCTTGAAATAACTACATAATACAAATGTCTTTCTTCTTAAATATTTTAACTAACCCATAGTATATGCTTTTAATTCAAAGAACAGATTGTGTTTCACTAGAATATATCATTAGCATTTAAATAGTAACACTATATTTGTTTAATTCTTTGTTCCATTATTTGTGTAAAATTCTGTGGAACTTAAACTAGGAAAAGACAAATATTTAAAGTAACCAAATATTTAATAATTATTAAGCACATATTACAGTAATGATAAACCATCTTGTTGTTTGCACTGCAGTTTGTAAATTGCCCGATGATAATGTCTAAAAGTGAAATGCTAGGTGAAACATGGTTTAATCCGCCAATGAACATCAGCTTCCTTAACATTACAGACGCGCCTAACTGATAAATATAAATTAGACCAACATATATGAGTGAACAGCATTGTTTCCGATTAGATGTTCATCAGGCTGTACTCTAATATACAGTAATATTTATATACATATACGAAATCATTAAACTAATCAAGGCTGTTTATGAGTCAATGGTAACAGCGGAATAGATTATATAAATAAGTCAAAAAAACAGATTGGTACTGTAATTTCATATATGCACATAAATATTACTGTATATTAAATTAAAGCCTGATGGGGATCTAACCGAAAACAATATTGTTCGCTTATATATGTTGTTCTAAATAATAATATGGAAATTTTTCAAATGTAAATTAGCACAAAACCTAAGTCTATAATTTCCCAGTGATTATCTCTGACCACCTAACAATATTATCAGATTACTTTATTGATTTAATTCACTTCATATATAATACTGATTTTCACTACACTGCGAAATATTATTTTCCCCATAATTTAGAGTAATTATTATTTTGCTTCTCGGAAATGTTTCCAATGTTAAACCACTCTAGATAGCATAAAATGAAACAGACGATTCAACGCTCCTTTATGGAAAAAAGAAAGAAAACTTAAAATTAAGAGTTCAGTCATATGACCACAGTCTGCAACTGACCGACCAAACAACTGAAATCATCGTACAAATGTAAATGTCCACAAAACTAGTAATTTCAAATAATGTATTACGTCACTAATTTTTCGAAGATTACAGTTAACTGACCAAAATAAAGGAGTATCTTTACATCTTAAGAAATGAATGAATCATGTATAGTGGAGATTAATGATGTTTGACCAATAGTATGAATAATAATAATAATAATAATAATAATAATAATAATAATAACACAAAGATTTATGAATAAGGAAAACAGGGACAATTACAATTGACTACGAAAGGTCATAGTCAAATTAGTTCATTCAATAGTTAAGATTACGATTGATTAATTGGCCTTGATGTCGGCCAGGGGAGGAGGAGTGGTTGAATATATTTCTTCTGTACGCAAAGCTCCGGTTTCTTCATCCGGATGGCTATTGCTTCAGCCGTTTGAAGGGAATCTTTAAACAATTAAAATGTTGTGAACAACCCATTGCGTTGAAGGTGCTCAATGAGTTCCTGAAGTATAACGTAAAGTTCACTGAAACAAAAACTACTATTGAATTTATCAATAGATCCATCGAATCAGGTCATTATCCAAAATTGTACTATACGTCACTTCGACGAAACGGGGTCTACCCCAATAGAAAAACACTGAAGCGCCACGCCCTAAATCAGATTGACGCCTTGCATTCAGACATAAACGATATACAAATGAAAGTTTATCGCAGAAAGTATGCAGTAGATGACTTAGCTGATGATTTGAAAATACCTTTTATGGACTATGTTACAAACCTTATGGATCAGAGATCAGGGAAGAAACTCATCCAGCTATTGAAAGGTCTGGAAAATCAAACGGCCGAAAGCAAATTTCCAACTGACTGTAAAAGGTATGTACATAATTTCGCTAGTGTCGAACTAGATAAAGAAAAACTAGAGGTATTATCCCTAGGTCTAAAATTTTGTGATACTCGTAATAACTGTAATCACATCGATACAGATATACAGTTCGAGAATCTTTATAGTCAGACACGTGATTTAGTTGTGAATTCTGATCAACAATTAGAGCATTTTAAATCAACTCTTGTAGACTGCTGTTACCAATATAAGAACAATAAATTTAGTTACAAAAGCATTCTTACGAAGAAGCACAAGGAAGCTATCAACTTACTTCTTAAGGATGAGACGTTACTGATTACAAAACCTGACAAAGGTTCTGGTGTCGTTCTTCTTAATAAAAGTGATTATATTGAAAAAATGAGTACAATCTTAAATGACAAATCAAAGTTTCAAAAAACAACTGACCAGAAAGATTTGAATAATAAGATAGAGAATGAGCTTACCAGATCTTTGAAGAAGCTCAGGGACCAACAGGCTATCTCATCGGGTTTATATGAAATGATTAAACCTGTGGTAACCCATCTGCCGAGATTGTATGGATTGCCAAAGGTGCACAAACCAGGTGTCCCATTAAGACCTATTTTAGATATGTATAACTCTCCTTACCATACTATAGCTAAGTGGTTGGTAACTGTATTGAAACCTCTACACGAAAAGCTTGTAAAATATAGTGTTAAGGATGTGTTCTAATTTGTTGATAAAATCAAAAATGCAAATACGTTGGGACTAAAGATGATGTCATTGGATGTAACATCGTTATTCACAAACGTCCCACTCATAGAGACTGTAGAATATATAGGTGAACAGCTGATAGAAAATGAAATTGAAACCACTGTCCCTATTAGTGTCGTGAAAGAGTTATTACTCAAATGCACCATGAATGTAAATTTCAAGTTCAACGGTGAAATATATAGGCAAACAGATGGCGTGGCGATGGGTTCACCACTGGGCCCTATACTAGCTGATATATTTCTAGCCAAACTAGAAAATGGTCCACTAAAAAGATTATTCGCAACTTCACATTTTACTGTAGATACGTGGATGACACGTTCATCCTCTGTAAAGATAATACGTCGCCGCAAGAGGTTCTTAGGCGATTTAATGAAGTGCATCCAGCCATTCAGTTTACATCTGAAGAAGAGAGTGATGGCCAAATATCCTTTTTGGACGTTCTCTTGACTAAGAGAGCGGATGGATCGTTAAAAAGGAATATAAACAGAAAATGTACATGGACTGGGCAGTATACGAATTTCCTGAACTTTGTACCTCTTCAGTACAAACGAAATTTGATCAAAAACCTGAGTTACCGTATTCGCACTATATGTTCTACTGATATAGTCGAACGAGAGCTTACCACCTTGCATAATACTCTTAGGGAGAACGGCTACCCTAGAAAGTTTATAATTAAATATATGGTCTCGAAGGTGAAAGCAGGCGAAATACAAACAGTGAAGAAGAAATCCCTGTTCATGCGTCTACAATTTAGAGGGGATGCGGCTAGCGAAATACTAACTCAGAGATTACGTAGGACAATACAAAAGTCTTTTAACGCCGGAGAACTACGATTAGTATTTTCTACGCGCCCAATGGTTACACCGAAGCTAAAAGATGAATTACCTAGAATGACCACCTCATTTTGTATTTATCAGTTCAACTGCTCCTGTGGAGCGAGTTATATTGGTCGAAGTTCTAGGAATTTACATTTTCGTGCTCGTGAACACCTTTCAGCGTGGATAAATAAAGGTTTGATGAAGAAGGTGAACAACTCAATATTGGCCCATTTAGTACAAACCGGTCATAGTGCCAGTATAAACCAATCTTTTTCAATTATTTATAAGGTAAGTAATTTCTTGCCAAAACTGATCAGACTGAAAGTCTTTCAAACGGCTGAAGCAATAGCCATCCGGATGAAGAAACCGGAGCTTTGCGTACAGAAGAAATATATTCAACCACTCCTCCTCCCCTGGCCGACATCAAGGCCAATTAATCAATCGTAATCTTAACTATTGAATGAACTAATTTGACTATGACCTTTCGTAGTCAATTGTAATTGTCCCTGTTTTCCTTATTCATAAATCTTTGTGTTATTATTATTATTATTATTATTATTATTATTATTATTATTATTATTATTATTATTATTATTCATACTATTGGTCAAACATCAATAATCTCCACTATACATGATTCATTCATTTCGCATTCACCCCTCCGTATTACTTTTTACTTATTTGATCGAATTGTAATTGCACTATTATTCCTCTCTCACCCTATTTGACCCATATTTATTTTGATCATGGATCTTAAAATTTCACTTAACATATAAGCTGATTCAAGTTAACATTCTATATAAGTCATATCAACATTAACAATTTTATTGTATTTTGTTTATCACAATCCTAAATTCACATGCTCTAAACGATGTACTTTGCCCTTAACCTGGCCATTTTTTCGGATTATTAATTTGGATATATAATTGTAGAACGTGAAGAGAATTTATCGAAAAGAATATTCTTCGTTCAACTACTAGTCTTTTAATTTTAAATAATATATTACGTCACTAATTTTGCAAAGATTACACTTAACTGATCAAAAATAAAGGAGTATCTTTGCATCTTAAGAAAAACCAAGCTAAATAACAAACAGATCTATTTTTGAAACAAGTTTTGTAATTCATACAATAATGTTATCCTGCATAAAAATATCTACCGAATTTAGTAAAATTTTAAACCAGTAGTTTCTTACTTGACACATTTTAACGTACAGATTCATCTTAAAATGTTCTTTATCAGTTAGTACAACGTTTATGACTTCAGTCGACAACAAAATCTAGTCTATAAAACGTGTTTGGAGTTAATTTATTCTTTTATGTTTATTTGTTTGCTGTTCAGGCCTACTTACAGGTTTCTCCAGTAATATAATTGATATCATAAAAAAATCGAAAAAAATGAACGAATCATGAGATCATTTTTATTTCGTTGGTTCTCTTCAGCTGCTTACAACCTGTGATATTTAAAATCATAATTAATGGGTTTAAATTACTTACATAAAAGAGTTTGATTGGAAGTTATATTAAAGACATATTCATATAGTATAGCAAGGGTGTAAAATTCATTCCAGTTTGCTGATAGACTAAATCGTACGAATGTTGCCGATAAGTTCATTGTTTCTTTTGATGTAACATCCTTGTTCACCAATATACCACTTCTTGAAACTATTGATATAATTTGTCAGAATTATGATCTCCTACCTTTACCAGCCCCGGAATTCAAAAAAGTACTATTAATGTGCACAACAGACGTTCAATTCCAGTTTAATAACACCATATATCGTCAGATCGACGGCGTAGCAATGGGAAGCCCACTAGGTCCAATTCTGGCAGATATTTTCATGGGGTCTCTTGAAAACATGGTGCTTAAACAGACGATTAGCAAAACGACGGAATATTCTAGATACGTTGATGACACGTTTATTGTCTGTAACAATAAACAGCATGCAATCCGCATGCTAAAACACTTCAATAACGCTCATCCTAACATACAATTTACTATGGAACACGAACAGAATGACATGTTCCACTTTCTTGATGTTGCTATAAAACGTAGGAGAGACGGTACAGTCCAACGTTCGGTTTATCGAAAAAGTACCTGTAATGGCATTTACCTGAATTTCAATAGCTTTTGTCCACTCAGTTACAAGAAGGCATTAGTTAAAACACTATTTTATAGGGCAGAAAAGATATGTACCACTGACAAACTCGAAGAAGAATTGATGAAAGTGGAAAAATGCCTGCCAGACAACTTTTACCCACAAAAGTTTATTGACAAGTATAAGAAGCGTGAAGAAAACAATACTGAAGTAATTACTGTCAATAAAAAACCAATAACTATAAGTCTTAACTTCAAAGGTAACGAGGTTGCGAACACAATCAACAGGAGACTCAATACCGCGCTAGCCAGAACTTATCCGGCAGCCAAACTTCAAATTCTGTATAAAACAACATGCTCAATAACTCAATCAAAAGTTGATAAGCATCCTTTTCATGTTACCGCCAATTGTATTTATAAATTTACGTGTACCTGCCAAAGCAGCTACATTGGCCGAACAGAAAGGAGGGCATATCTCAGATTTTTTGAACATGTTCCAAAAAGCCTCAGAACAAGAGAAAGAAAGACTCTAAATAGTGCAATCACCAAACATCTTCTTGATACAGAACATCAGGTCGATACCCTACAATCATTCAAGGTGATTAGTAAGCAGCCAAACTCCATTCTTCTGAAGTTTGCTGAAGCAGTTGCTATCAGGCGCCAAAAGCCTGATTTATGTGTTCAAAAGGAGATGGTTATTAATCTTTCCTTGCCTTGGTGATTAATATCCCTTTGTTATATCTTAATAATTTTTTTTCTTTTTCTTTAAACTCTTTCTTGCATTTATTACACCATTATTTTATCAACTGAACTCTACTCATTTTGTTCCTATCAAGGTTTATTTGTTTCTAACCGTTTGAACTGTTATCACAATGTTCTTTCATCACATAAGGTATATATTTACAATATTCAGTCTATTAAATTTATTTACACCCTTGCTATACTATATGAATATGTCTTTAATATAACTTCCAATCAAACTCTTTTATGCAAGTAATTTAAACCCATTAATTATGATTTTAAATATCACAGGTTGTGAGCAGCTGACAAGAACCAACGAAATAAAAATGAATTCATGCTATTCTGCTAGAATGTTTGTTCTTGCTCTTTTCAAAATGATAAAGGGAACTATGTGCATGGAATCATGAGATATCAGTTTGGAAATTCCAATAATTGTTTCATATTTTCTTCATACTTGTTATGATACCTATTCTCAGTTGTTGCAAATGATAATTCTGAATGTTGAAAAGATAAAATCTCTCAGCTTGATTGTCTTGAAAATTTATAAACAATCAAATATATCACATAATTCTGATAAACTACGTCTTCTCATTGCATTATCGAAATTTATCAAAGGTACTAAGTGTTTTAAACAATCATCTGTAAAGTAGGTATTTTATTTCGATGAAGAGCTGTTGTATAACTTTTACAAATCTACATCAACTGTATGATGAATGGAGAGAATAAGCAATATTTGGGATAAACATGAAGAATGAAAAATATCATGGTGTTGATGGAGTTTTTTTGTCTGAGCTGGATGTTTCAGTAGTGGATCTTTCATCGTTCTGCTGAACGACATCATCAGCACAAACTTCAGGTAGAAGTTGAGTGTTTGAGTTTCCCAGCATGTGGTTCACAGATTGTCCTGTACACCTCGATGTTGACTGGTTCTCGTTGACCCGAAACCTTTCATCTTTTGCTTCTTTATTCAGGTTGTCTCCCATTAGTTTGATTTTTGGTCCTATGTTTGTTCATAATTTTTCCGATTGGTTGGTATATTGGATCGATGTCAATGTGTTCGTTGATTACTGATTAATCTGAGTGCCAAGCTTTTAAAAATTCTTTTGTGCTTTAGGAATTGCCTTTATCCAAGATCTCTACATTCTTCCAGTCAAATATATGTCCACAATTGATATAAGTGAGGATATGTCGTGGCGTTTGACCGCTAATGGATGTTCATGCAGGCGAGGTTGAAGAAGGCGTCCACTTCGTCCGATATAGTGTTTTTCTCAGTTGGCACAATTTGTTTTGTAAATGATGTTCGGCTTTTCTTCTTTCGTCATCTTTTTCTTTGGTTTGCAGGATAGTGATTGCAGTGATCTTGTCAGTTTATGTGCTATCATCCACCTCAGGTACAAAACTTAACCATCTCAATAACATGGTGTAATTTCTTATGTGAATTGTATTAATTTAACGTTGGATCAATAACATTAGAATCGTAACTTTTTTTGATTGAATAGCGGCATGCATTTAAATTTCCATTTCGAAAACCTGACACAGGTGATATTTGTGAATGGGGACAGATTTTACTTAATTACATTTGATAATGAAAACGTTAGTCAAAAACTTAACTGAAATTTGAAGCCTGAATAACTAGTCTATTTGAAAAAGGTATCTTCCTTTGTGAAGAACTTTTAACTCTAAGGTTCAGTTCTGCATAGGTATTCTTACTATACAAAGGTATTTAACTAAGGCAACATAACTAGCAAATACTTTTTAATGTTAGATCATCATGAAAACACTCTTCTACATTTTAAATCTTATTAACATGTTTATTCTAGTATGTAGCTTACGAGGTATTACTCTTTCAAACATTTCAGACCCACCTGTTTATCCTATACAGAATGGGGATAAGAAGTTATAAGAATAAGATAATTTATGAGAAGTGAAAAGACTTTTAAGACTGTATCTTTGAATATTTCTCAAAGGACTATATAACAGTTACCATCTAATGATTATGGGCAATCAATATTAGAACGTTGATATTATTATTACAATTATGTGATGCACAAGCTGTTTCTAAAAAGAAAGTTCTATTTTATTCAGCAGCTCTATTCCAGATATTATCTTCCTAGACATCAGGTCACGCTAACTGATCAATATATGCCTACCTGAATCAAGAATCAAGAGCAGCATATTTACAACTGAGGAACATCTGGAACTCAAAGCAACTGTCAACCAACACCAAGTTCAGGATTTTCAATACAAATGTCAAGACAGTTCTACTGTATGGGGCGGAAACCTGGAGAACTACGAAAGCCATCATCCAGAAGATACAGGTGTTTATTAACAGTTGTCTACGCAAAATACTTCAGATCCGTTGGCCGGACACTATTAGCAACAACGTACTGTGGGAGAGAACAAACCAGATACCAGCGGAGGAAGAAATCAGGAAGAAGAGCTGGAAGTGGATAAGACACACATTGAGGAAAGCACCCAACTGCGTCACGAGACAAGCCCCCACATGGAATCCTCAAGGCCAAAGGAAAAGAGGAAGACCAAAGAACACATTACGCCGAGAAATGGAAATAAACATGAAAAAGATGAACAAGAATTGGATGGAATTAGAAAAGGAGTCCCAGGACAGAGTGGGTTGGAGAATGCTGGTCGGCGGCCTATGCTCAATTGGGAGTAACAGGCGTAAGTAAGTAAGTAAGTAACTGAATCAAGAATAGGAAATTATGGAATCTATTTCAGTTTTTTAGGCTGTTTTCGCAATGATTCTCCTGTTTCAATTTTAATAATAAATAGTAACAATGGTAAAATCTGTCTTGTAACTTTTTTTAAGAGTTACCTTTATTTACCAGCTGTTTTGCCAATCACAAACTAAGTTAAATATTTATATAATTAACTTAAGAGTTATATTTTGTTCGTAATACTATATTTTCACAAAACTTTGTACATAACCTTAATCACAACAAAATACGTAAATCATTTTGCCCAATAAAATATTATTTATAATCAAAACTCTATTAGAGGAAGGAAACAATCACTTCGCAATCAGATACTAATTATCCATGTCACTCTACAAGCATATGCTAACATATATCCAATGTCGAATATATACGAAATACTACCCATTGAAAAGCTTTATTTATTATTAAAACTAATCTGGAAGAAATGTTTTCGACTGTAGTAGAATTCTGGTATATATGTACAACAAAACTCTTTCTTTGTTGCTGTTTAGAACATTCAATTTTATTACCTAAGTGGTGAAAATGTTTTGAGTGCTACCTGAGTATATTTCAGTCTGAAAGATGTAAAATTCTCATTTTAGAATTATTGTACAATTATTATTCTGTTTAATATTATTTTATACATTTATATGAATATTCGTCCTGTTATTCTGATTGATTACAGATGATATCCTCGAGTAGTGTTAAACTAATTGATACGTGTTTAATTAAAAAACCTTCTGGCTTTGGGTTGACGTTGAGTGGAGTTATAACATTTATTCCAAATGGTATATTAGATGTCAACGTTATATCTAATTTATCGGAAAAGCAAGAAGGGTTCTATCAACGTTTATTACAGATACGAAGTGTGAGTGATGATGTAATGACATATGATAATAATTTAGTCCAATCACGTGGAAAGAATAATTCGATACGACCTGGTGATATATTACTTGCTGCCGGTGGATGTCGTTTAGCCGGTTGCACTCCTGAATATGCTGTACAGTTGTTAGCCAAGGTTCCAGTAGGCAGCGCTGTTCAAGTTACTTTACTCCGAGGACTAGGAATTCCTGGAATTTATTCTGTAAACGAAGATCGTAACTATGCAAAACATTTTTATGAACCGAGATCATTCAGTTTGTGTTCTTCAATGAGCAGTTCCTCAGAATTGTCGCCAAAAAAGATAACTTCAGATTCTGAATCTCACAATGGATCGAAATTTGCGAAATCCTACACGGAACACGTGAGTGTATTACTTAAAGAATGTAATATGCCTTATTAACCCAATTTTTAAGTAAATGCCCTTACTTTTATGCTATATTATAATCTCTGAAATTTAATTACGTAAATCATGTGTCATCAAATCAGGGAAATGTATTGTGTCAGCCTGTTATAATGGATCAGTAGTTACACTTAACGATAGAAGAAATCACCACTCGAATTAACACAAACCGTAATAAGATTCACTCAGTATAAGGTCTTGTTAAAATCCATATCATTACAGAAAGTTCAAGTTGTGATGCATTTCTATTTGACAATAACAATTTGCTTTTTCCAATATAACATTGTCATACTACTCATAAATGGACTACTCCATATCACAAAACGGTAATGTTAATATAAATCAAGGATAAAAAGTGTTGAAATTAATCGTATAGAAGTAAGCATCAGTATAAAAAATTTGAAACACTCGTGTAACGAAATCTGCAAGCTCTCGATAATTTAGATCATTGTCGTTTACATTCACAAATAACAGCCATAAACTAATAACCGTTATATCTCATTCATAAACCATTTTTATTTTTCTCTATTTTATAACTATATTTATCAAATAGTGAGAGGTACCCTATTACATTTTTATCTAGTGGATGGTGTTACGGAATAGGAGTCGTTTACGATCAGAGATTTTATTAAGCGTAAAGCATTAAAAAGGGATAAATTCCAGAAAATCATAATTTCTAAATGTTCTTTGTTCGGGTTTCTTTTTAAATGGTTAGCTACAGATACATTCTTTCTTCTATTAAATTTCTCATAATCAACAAACATCATACAATAATCAGAAAATCAGTTGTACTACACTAAACAAATTAATTTTACAGTTAAATTATGTCTTATCCCAACTATCTTGCACACAGGTAAACTTCATGGTATATTTATCCTGAAACTTAATATTTTCAATTTTCACCAATAATCTTCATGGTTTGTCATAACTTTTCAAAGTATGATACTCTTACATGATTTTGAGAAAATTAGTCAATGAAAATCCATATTATTTACGGTATCATAATGGAACATACTGCAATACTACTGAGGATACGTAGAAAATGGTATATTTCTTTAGAATATTGCTTACATTTAATAATTTATATCCTTTTTAAAGTCTGATAGATCATAGAGAACAAATCAATAATGTTTATTAGGATCAAAGTAGTAACTTAAAACTCAAATGGAACAAATCTAAAATTTTAACTTATCATCTCATTGTTTACTGTTATGACTTATTGACTAAAGTATTTTTACTCACTCATCAATTATAAAATAGATATAAAAATTGCTTGAAAATGGTTTAAATTGGCAAGTGTTGTATAATTTTGTTTTTATTACTAAGATGATTTTGTATTGATTATAGAAAGTTTAAAGTTAGAAATAAACATTCTGTCATATTGTACTTTCATATACTTCCACATGTTTAATATAAAATGATCATTAAAAAGACTGTAGTGAACAAGAATACCAGTGAGGACAAACGAATGTATTTAACACAGAATTACAGGACTTGTTAATAAAATTTAACAATCATATAGTAAATGCTTAATTTGTAAAATGTCCATCGATTGTCTCAAAATGACTCAGACTTCATTGTTCTTGCCTTTTCTTACAAATTGCATCCTGTTTCCATTCTTTACTGTTTGATCAACTTGTCTCTCTGCTGTCAGACCTTCTGTTCATGACTAACATCATATACTACTTATGTCAATATAAGTAGCACACACCACAAAACCATAACTTTAAAGGATTTTACTTCAGCATAATCACAATCAAATAACGATAAAATCATGAAGAATTTGTGCTTTTTTTTTAAGTAAACACTTATTTAACATCAGTGATTAAGTATTGAGACATTTGTTACATTTTTGAATCAACGTTATCATTTGATTTAGCTAGTCTAGTTTATTAATAGTCATAAACATCGTGATATATTTGTCGTTTATCAATGTTTAACTGGTTAAAATTAATCATATCTCAACTTTAGATATTCTCCAAAGAACTTCTGTTTTCTTATACATAATACTGGACAGTAATGAACAAAATATAACTGTATATATATATATATATATATATATATATATATATATATATATATATATATATATATATATATATATATATATATATATATATATATATATATATATTTAGGGTATAGTTATGAAATAACTCATTGATTTTCACATTTTGCTTTTTCATTATTATTATTGAAAAAAAAGTTTTGTTCAAATTGTTGCAATTCTCTACGAACTGTAAATTTGATTAAAAAAGAAAATGATTATGGATTCACTTATTTTTATACGAATTATGGATGTTTGGTTAATCAAGTAGGTAAATTATTCAAATGTTTTGCTTTTTTTTCAACATAAAAAAAGAAACTACTTATATTACACATAATGAATACTTTTTGTATTAGAAAATGATCTATGTGTCACTATTGAAATTTTAAACAATCAGTGAAGTAAGGTAATTAGGTTTATTTACTCAATTGCGTTAGTTATATGAGTAGAAACTGATCAAACTTTTCTTTATTTAAGATTGTTTAAAACATGTAAAGCAATCACAAATGTCCTTTAAATTATGTGCTATTAAGATCAAAATTGCTGAATAGGAACATACATACACATAAGATAAAGCATGAGAAGTAATGAAAGGAAATATAAATTACTCAATGAAATCATACAACAGTGATTACCATGTTATCTAAAATAAAAATTTAGTTTATCTAACTATAAGAATTTTGAATAAGCATAAATAACTAATTTATAAAACTATCTATTATCATTAGAAAGGGATTTTGTGAATATTATAGCTAGACCATCATGGAAAATCTAGAAGTATTGGACGGCCGGTTCATCCTAAAATGGGACTTCTCAGCCGTGAGCATCTACGATTATTATCAGTTCATCATACCATTATCTTTTCATTCAACCATTACACTTGAGATAATTAAATTTGATTATAATCAAAAGTCAAATCATAATTAACTTCTAGATAAACATAGTTCATATGAAACATAATGTTCCTGAAGTGTATTTTATTTTATTTCTTAATCAACAGGTAACCAGAAATAACATCAATCAGTTAAATAAAACGAAATTACAACCAGGTGATTTGATAGTGAAAATTGGCAATTTTGATGTAGTTAAATTGACCAAAACTCAATTTTCACAATTATTAAATGTATACTTAAAATCTAAATCGATACAGTTTACTGTAATTCACGGTAAGTATTCAGTTTATTTATTTATTTGTTTGAACACATAAATATTGATACAAAGGGGAACCGAATACATATGCGCCACACAAGTCACTTGATTTGTGTATGGGCCATAATACTCCCCGAATGCCCAGACCGAAGCAGATGGTTTTCTTAGGAGGCCACACCCAAAACCTTCAACCTGAAGGTCTGATCCACAAGGCAGTGGAGAAACGTAAGGAGTTGCAGTCCCATGATAGCTAGTGACCAACGATTGGTTCACACGCCATTTGTTCCGTCAGGACACTGGAGCACATGAGCACCATTGGTTCGCAATCAGGGCTTTCCAACTCCCCTATGTGGATCCTCCGTATCCACCAACCTCATGAAAAGAAAATATTTAATAAAAGTGATGCATTAATTTCGTTAAATATTCTCATTTACATTTTTGTGCATTCATTGCGAATAGAATTTTATTGAAATTACTTTTAAGTAAACTTGTTATCTGTAGATCAAATCGTGTTTCATCATCTGACGTTTTTAAACTCTAAGAGCAATAAACACTAAAAATGAATGTGAACTAAATAATTTTGAACAATGTTTCACACAAACTATCGACGAATTATTTGTATGATACTATGTTGGCTTATATGAACCTATGGGGATGGCTCCCGGTGAACTCATGGAAGCTCCAAAAAGTTCTAATAGAGCCAACAACATCCCATCCAATCATTTTTTCGAAGAACATTCCACAATCTCAACGTGTAGCTTTCCGATTAGAAAAATTCTAAGAACCACTGCATGTATACTGGATGATTGTGAATGATTTCTTTTTTACTAAAAACTATAAATCCCCGAGTGTTTTGTATCATATATGACACTAGATGAAATCAGATTTCTTTCCGCTCATCTTCTATCTTCTAACTTGCGACTTGGAAGGTCCAAGCGTTCGAGTGATCAAGTTGTAAGTAAAACTTCAAGCTCTAGATAAAACGAAATCGAATATTAAAAGGATTCTTAAATGAGAAATAAAATACTAGAAAATAGATTTCCTCTGACTGGTATTGAAAGTTGATAAATATATTAGAAAATATTTCGTCGATTCATTGTGTAACTGAACAACTATTATTTGTCTGATATTAACTTAACGGTAGTCGGTAACATTCGGAAGTTATGTCTATCTCACCTCTGTGAATATAAAACGGTTGAGTTACTTAATTAGTCGTTGTCCAGAGTCATTTTTCATAATGTTACGAACAGTAAGTTTAATCAAATAGTTTTATTTAATGTTCTTCAGTAAACAAATAACTGTTTGGTAAAAATAAATTTATGTCAAAACTAGGCTATTTATTAAAGTTCGTGGTCTTTCATCACTGAACAACCATTCTATGATAATTTAATAAATGAATTCATTAGTCAATTGAAGCTAGACCACCATGGAAAAACCTGGAAGTACTGGAAAACCTTTTCGTCCTAATACGGTACACCTCAGCAGTGCATATCCACGATCCTGCCTCGTGACGTTCAAACCCAGGACTTATACGTCACACACGCAAACACTTAACCTCTAGACCATTGGGCTAGCATCCAACGGTGTTATAAATAAGTCATTTCTCTACTTTCTACAATACCTATTTTAACTATACCATTTGTTTGTTGAATAGTATTTCTATAATCTTAATCATGTCGGATAACTTTGAACTATAGGTTTCTTTGTTGATCTGAATTATTCCTCTTTTCAGATGAACACAATGAATTCATTGCATTGAATTTAATGATATCAATGATTTGTAGATACATAAACCAAAGTAATATTAAAGCAAAATTTAATTCTTAAAAATAATATTTTGTAAATTAATGTAAAATTTATTTAAATCTGTTTTTTGGTACTCCAACGTAAAATCTACGATTTATACTTAAGATTAACCAGTTGCTATGGCTAAAGTCAAATGATAAATTCTTAATACAGATAAACAAATCAAAGGCTTTTGTTTCAAATAAAGCGTTACATATAGTATATTTTTATTCTGAAGTGAATAGACTTAGCAACGTGCAACGTAGCCGTAAATGTTATTATTATTAATAATAGTATTTAGTATTACTCATATTCTAAGGTGAGTCATTTCACAAGATCTTGTCAATTGGGTGTGTACACAAGAATAGTGTAAGAAATATATTTGTAGTTTTCATTGGTTAACTTTTAACAGTTACATACTACTTATATCTGTACATAACCACGTTTTCACTTGCTTAATTGGTTCTCGGTATATATACATATATTCAATGCCAAACCACACCCTAAAAATGAGGGATAGAAACAGTTTGTTTATTAGAATTGACTTTTAGTAAAATCTAACCTTTAATAAAATTTGTATTTTATTCATACTTCAACTTTGCTTCATTCTATCTTTAACAAAGTTTGCTCAAGTTGTTTAAAACAAGTAAATCAAGTAAATATTCATTTGAATTCTAATAAATCTACAAATAATTATTTGAATTTAAACAAAACCACTATCATACCAACTAAAGAAACAGTAACAGAAACAAATAAAGATGAAATGATCTCTTTCCTACGAACGGTATTAAATAAAAATTGTCATGGAAAAAAATCCACAAATCATAATCTACAAACAAATGATAAAAACACTTCTTTGAATACTTCTGAATTGAATAATGTAAATAATTTATTAATGAAGAAGACACCTGAATCATGGTTACCTGAAAAATGTTTTACTCCAGGTATAGATAAAAGTGGTCCTTGTGAAACTCCAGATTATATATCTATATCACAATTAGCAAATACATTGAAAACAAATAATCATCAAATCAATCATTCTTCTTATTTATATCATATGCCAAAATCTGATGTATTCAAACAAAATCAAATCAACGAACAACAACAATCATTTACAAACTATAAACATTATGATGATTCTTTATTAGATCGAATCACTTCACCTTGTTTATCACCATCAATACAAATGAAAAATTCTCATAATCCAATGTTGAATATTCCTGAAATGAATACTAGTAATACAAATTGTAATAATTTCACTGAAGAAGATGTAAAAATTCGTTATAGTACAAAAGATGGAAAGTTAAAATTTGTTAAAGAAAATACTGAACAAAATTTAGTAAGTGAATAATATTATTTTATTATTATGGGTTTATGGAGATTGTTGAGTTTTTGATTGAGATTATGAATTGATCAATGTAAGACCACCATTGGAAACCTGGGAGCACTAGACATCCGTTTTGTTCTAGTATGGGACTATTCACTAATGTGCATTCACGATCCTGTGAGTGGGGTTGGAATCCAGGACCTTCGGTATCTCACGCGAACGCTTAACCTATAGACTACTGAGCCGGTATCCAAAGTTATTAATGCCCTTTGTCATGTGTTAATGTTATACATTTAATTCTTCGCTAGTCAATTCATCTTATTCACATGAACAACTGAAATAAACCCTTTTTCCTCTCATTTGTAATAATATGTGATGTTTTTTTTATCGTTAAGTTTGTTTACTACGCAATGACATTTTGTTGCTGATTTGTCCCTGAAATGTTTTCTTTTTTAAATTTAAAAAATTAATTCGTAGTAATGAATGAAGATTATTTATTGTGACCCCTAGGAAATCGAAAAGTAAACTTGTTAGCCATCTAGACTCATCAACTTCTAAATTTATTTACTTTATTTTAACACATAGATATTGGTACGAGGCACCAAAAAAGTCTCATTTGATATGTGTGAGGGCTGTGATACTGCCCGTGTGCCCAGACCGAAGCAGGTGGTTTTCTTAGGGAGCCAGACCCCGAGCCTTTGACCTAAAGGTTTGATCCACAAGGCAGTGGAGCGTCGTAAGGAAATGCAGTCCCATGGTAGCCGGTGACCAACGATTGGTTCATATGCCATTTGTTTCCTCAGGATACTGAAGCCCATGTGCACCATTGGTTTGGGACCCGGTTAAAGCGCCGGACATTCGCTTTTCATCCTCTCATTTTCGTAAACAACACCCCCGCCACGAGAAGGCAGTGAATAGGACTTTCCTGGCAGAGGCTATATACACGTCGCCATGTGAGAGCATTTGCAGAGGGAGAGCGGACTCTCCCCACTCTCAGCCTTACCAAGGCATTTGGGGGATCGATTTCTAAAGCTTATAATAATAACAATTATTATTATTATGTGTAAAGATATGAAGTCTTATATAGTTACTTACTTGATAACAAGTACAGATAGCATAGAACTAAATTGAAACTTCACTATACAAAATTATTAGTTGTACTAAGTAAGTAGACAATATATATTAGACTTTAATAATTACCAAGCAAATGGGTTGATTTTAGATAAATTGAGATAAACATTTCTGCTTAGTTAACCAGGTTTGATAACACTGTAAAAATCTGCAACTAGCTCTATCCTGGGCTCTCCTTTCTAGGTGTTCCCAAGTGGCTCTAATACTCCTCTTGATTTGTTTGTTCGCTCTTGTGTACCTCGACTGTGACTTAACTTTGTCTGCCCTTGTTCGGCTAACATTACTTGCTGTCTTCTTGTTCTTCTCTTCTTGAGTCTTTCTCAGAGTATTAACAGAGACGCACTTTTATACTTGTGCTTACTGAGGCTCATCAAGTTCTAGAGTGTCGAATTGACTGCTTAATCAATTCCTCTCTAATCCTTTTCTACAATGGTATTTTTCTTTTGTTAATAGACATTGTAAGGTTTAATACTTATCGCTGAGATGTATGTGGAAAACACTGGGTTTGTTAATAGCTCGAAGGAAGTTTTTGTTGAAATTTTGTATTGCTATCTGTCCAGTTGTCTAATGCTATTTTAGCCTAAGCTTTAGCTTTTCCACCACCAGATGGTGATCTGAAGCTATATCCGCTTCTTTCATTGCTTTTACTTCTCCCATGGACTCTCAAACAATTTAACTGATGTGGATATTACTGAATCGGTTCTCTGTAGTGTAGTCTGAGGAAGCCGATGTAGCTTTGTTCATGCGTTTGTAGGGTTATATTCCACCTATAAGTATCTTTTAATCATTTAACGATATATCACAACTGATTTACGTGACTTATCTTTCAGAATAATTTCAAAGAATCGGTAACATTAAGATATCAACAGTTTATTAAATTTACATTCCTAGAGTAGTCCAAAAGGCACATAATCATTTTAAACCTTGTAAATATTATCATTCTTAATACTGAAAATAATAAACCTATGGTCATTTAGCTATAGTTCACTTTCTATATAATAAGAATATAAAATGATTTCATGACAATTCTATAAGTTGCTTTTTTGGAATGTAAAAAACAGGTGAATGAATTCTTAAATGAAGTGTTCGATCTATAACATTTCATATCAGAATAAATAAAATAAACTCAATGTTCATCATATGAATAGATAAAAGTATTTAGAGTGGAACTATTTGTCAAGAGTTTTACTTACTTACTTACTCCTGTTACTCCCACTGGAGCATTGGCCGCCGAACAGCATTCTCCAACCTACTCAGTCTTGGGCCTTCTTTTCTATTTCCACCCAATCCTTGTTTTACAAAGCTATTATCCATAACCTAAACATAGAAAATTTCTCTTCCTTTTAAACACCTATTGTTTCGATAAACTATAATCTTTGTTATCAGAAGGGGTTTTTGTGAATATTATAGTATTTTTAATAGCTGAAATCATGAGTCAACTGAAGCTAGATCACCATGGAAAATCTGGAAGCACTGGACGACTGATTTGTCCTACTTTGAAACTCCTCAGCGGTGCGCAACCACTATCTCGCCTTGTGAAACTCAAACCCAAGACTTTTTGGTTTTGCGCTCAAGCGCTTAACCACTGAACCACTGAGCCGGCCAGCATCCAACAGTGTTAATGTTTAACTTCAACTAATCCACAAAATTGAGCGACACACCTACCATTGTCTTCAGTGAGCTACTATCTCACAATCTTTGTATTTGAGTGATTTAAAATACTGGAGTACCGTTTACAACTTCAGTAAAAGTCTTAACTGTTTATACATGAAATAACCAGTAGGTAAATTCGTGAACTTTTACAACAATATTTCATCTACAAATTTCGGTTAACTTTCAGTCCATTAGAATTAATGTTACATTTAAGTATATAATAATAATGTAGAATTCAGATATCCCAAAGGTAAATCTCCAATGACCACTATAAACTTTCAAAATAATGAAAACTATCATAAAAAATTCGTTAACTCTTAATGAAAAACAAGTATTCTATACATCTTTGATTACAACAAATGATCATAAGTCAAAGCATTCTTGCAATTTGAACACTGGAACGTTCACATATTCTTCTTAATCAGAAGGAAAATCATTTATCACTTTATTTAAATATGTACAATATAAATTTTAAGAAGACACTGTTTTCTTATAAAACTCTACTTTTGTAAACATAACTTACTTTTTTTCAGCCATGTATTATACCCATGGAAGACAATGGAAGTTCAGGTGAATCAAGTCAAAATTTAGTGGTAGGTGATCTGTTAGTGGCTATTGAAAATCACTCTGTACTGAGTTGTAAACCTAGTGAAATTGAAGAATTACTTCGATCAGCAGCGAAGAATAATAATGGTTTTGTCACGTTGACTGTTCGTAGAATACATTCATTAGATAAGGCTGAATGCATGAAAATATCAGGTAAGTATTAAATTTGGCGTGCTTTTCCAAAATTTTGATTGCATTTATTATTATTATTATTATTATTATTATTATTTTCATGCAAGATTTTATAAGATTTTAAAAGGTTAATATATTTCAAATTATTACTGTTTACTGTAAATTAATTTAATGTATATTAATGCCCATTTAGTGTTTTATAATAAACGATCAATCAAACTGTTAGTAGTATTTCTTACTATACTTGATACTAAAACCAAATTTTGAAATTACACATTTGATGGTAATGACTCTCTTTTGAATGCTAAACTACGTTATCTTAAATGATTAAGAACAATTTACGGATGAAATAATTTAGTATATCTCTTTATTTAAATGTCCAAAAGTGTAATTGAATACAACCAGATTTATGATCGCATACGTATAAGTATATCAATCATGTAAGCAAAATAACATAAACAATGATTTTAAACGCATGAAACCGAGTTCACATTAATGTTTTCAGTTACTATTACGACTTTTATTTATTACTACTGAAATGTTTTTTAGTAGTATAAAATATTTAACGAAGTTATCTACGATGCTTGCGTTAAGTAAGTAGAATATTAAGTGTTTCACGGACTAGCGACGAAAATGTTGTAATTTAAGGATATGCATTGTTCAGAATTCCTTATTTCTGTGTAATTACACAGATTATTTGTTTTGTCCTGAAATTCCTTGACCAGTTTTGTGAAATCTGCAAATAAATAATGTTTTTAATCCAATATGCTGCACAATGTTTCTCAAGACTGTCGGAATTCGAAACAATATTGAAGCTTATAGAGTAGATATTTCGTTAATTTTTATTACTTTGTGGAGTTGAACAAACTGTGTATAGAAATAAATAGGGTTAGTAAAATATATTCATTTCACTTCCATGATATGTTTCAAACTAACGAAGGTCAGTTCTCAGAAATAAGATAACTGAAAGTACTTCAAAGAGATTAATCCATACAGCATATTATAAATTATAAGAAACCTTGATAGCCAATATACAGGGATGATCGAATAATTTTTAACTGAGTTCCAAAATATTAACAGCAAAATAAAATTTTAAACAAAAGTTGGACACAAAGTTTCAATTTAAGCTGACTAACTATGATCGTAAACAACACTCAAAAGGGTTGTAAACAAGATGGTTGAAAAATGCTTTTTTTGTTTTCTAACTATCTATCACAAATTAACTTTTTAACTAAGTGAATGTCAGTTTAATTGAGTTGAAGCTGTATATTTTTTGGTTTTGTTCAATACAGGCAAGTGACAACGGTAAACTTTTCAATTCACAACTAACAGGACAATCCGCAGAAAGAGAGCAAATATTTATCCTAACGTATTCTTTCGATTAATAAACATACTGTTATAACTCATGCCGTGTCCTTATTAATGTATAAAGTAATCATACCGCCAATTACAGAACAGCAACCTCAGCGATATGAATCATTTATTTCAAACATACTGGGTTTATATACCAACCAGACAGACCACATCGTACCATAAAATAGTAAACAACATTTTTACAAGATTTAGCCAAAAGTGGCTGTGAATGTGGGAGGTGGTAATTGATAGACTGGGTATAACTCAAGAATGGTAAATCGCATGATAATAGTTCATAGGTCAAAATATAGCTTATGATAAGAGGAACACGAATATGAATGATTTAGTCATTTAAAAATTATAGGATAAAACTATACGTATAATATTGGTCCATAAATGGATCCCAAAAGTTACCATTCATTATTCTCATCGGGATACAACACATACATTATCAAATGTCGTTTGAGGTGACAGGAAGCTAGTCTATATTCTCTTTTGTCTACACCACGAAGCATTTTCAAAGAAAAAAGTTGATGTTCAAGGCAGATTTTAATACTAGATTTTATCTAATCTTATTTCAGGTTCTAGACAAATGCATAGTACCTGAATGTGAAGTCCATTCGATACATTTTTAGTAAAGGATTTATCTTCATAATTTATAAGTAATGATCTTACTTAAAATATTTACCTAAAACGAAATATCCCTATATTGAGAAATAAATTCAAGGATTACCTTCTAAGAAAAACAACGATCAGAAGGTAAACTGTACATCTGATTTTGTTCATGATTATACACATTTTAAAGCTTTTAATTTAAAAATCATTTCTATAAATGACCTTTAACAGTATATTTGATTTCAATTATCTTATTCATGTTTGATATATTACAGAGATACCGACAAAAGATTCAATTAGTTCAAACATAATCAATGTGAAGTTATTAAAAGAGAAAGATGAAGGTTTTGGTTTTGTGATTGTCAGCTCTTTGAATAAAGAAAAAGCAAGTGAAATAGGTAAGTATAAATATGACAAAATATAACAACATTCTAACTACTAAAAAAATAGACAATTAGATAAGAATTAACAGAGATGGTGGAGAAGATTTGTAGCTCAGGTGGATGATTTCTGTCTGAAGTTTGTTCTAATTATGTCGTTCAGAAGAACGGTGAACGCTCCACGACCAAACCATCCAGCTCAGAGAACAAAATTCCATCAAAAGAATAAACAGAAAGTAAACAAATGGATATTTTGAACTAGCGAATGTTTCCATTTAAACAACTATGATATATCTTATGTATTTATTACATAATACTGACTAAATAAGAAATATTTTGGAAAAAAGAAACATATAAGTTGGAAACAATTTTCAAACCTCTTGACGATTAGTGTATATCTAGTATTAAGCTTTAAGTTTACTGATTGAATTTCATTTGATGATTGAATGAATATGGAAATTCTGAATTGCATGACTCAAGCTAACTTCGTATATTCTTTAAGTTCTCCTAAATTTCAACATTTTTTTCATATGTTGTTTACCTGCTTTATTTGTGCTCTTTTTTGTTAATGATATTAATCTTAAATATCCCTCATTCATCTATAGCTCGTTATTAAAGTGTAATTACTTGATTTAGTAACCTTTTTTGTTTATTTCTAATTTCATCAATGTACTGTATATCAAGTGAAAAGAGAAATAAAACCACAATCTAATTTCTATATTATCTAAAGTTATTTCAAAGTAGATAGGGCTTAATTACAACCCCATTGTCAAGTACTATTAACTTGGTTATTATCAAGGAAATTAATCCATCATCTGGGGACGACCACCTGGGAACTCATGGAAGCTCTGAAAGGGCCGGAGACCTTCAATCCAATCATCTTTTCGAAGAACATTCCACAATCTCAGAGTTTAAGTTACCGATTGGACAAATTCTGAAAACCATTGCATGTAGATTGAATGATTATAATGATGATTTCGTTTTTACTTAAAACGATAAATTCCCGAGTGTTTTGCATTATATTTGACACTGGTTAGGATAGAATTTCTTTCACTTCTCTCTCATTTGTGACTTGGAGAGTTCAAGTGTTTGAGTGCTCAGGATGCACGCAGTTCTAGTCCGAGATATAATATATCACTTATAAAAAATATTTGAAAATCTTTTACATTATTTTATAGAAGTAAATTATTATGCTAATTTAAATACAAATTAACTCGTTTAAGAAACATCCCATAAAGACGTCAATCATTCAGTAAATGATTCATTCAGATTTCCAGTATAAACTTTCTTTAGAATTGGAATAAATTATCTTCACACTGTTGTATGCCCAGACATATATTCTTATCTATATCCAATGGTCACATATAGAATCTTAGACTATGGTCTGGAATATATCACAAATTCAAACGTACGTAGCAATTGTACTTGTCATATATCAAAACATCGAAATTACTCAAACAATTAAATACATGCTACTACTAGTCGTCACAACACTTAAAATGTAGAAAATGATATTTGTTTATATTCTAGTATTGTTTGACTTCGATTACTGAGAATTTTACGTCTTAAATTTCATCTTGAATAACTTTTGTAAACATTTTATTTTTATTATAGACCTAAATGATTACCGAAATTCAAAGTGTCTTTATCAGTAGTTATAATATTTATCTCATATTTTGTTTTAATTAAAAGGTCGTATAATTCCAGGTAGTCCAGCTGATAAATGTGGACAATTAGAAGTTGGACAACGTATACTGGCTATAAATGGTTATTGTTTATTAGGAATTAATCATATGGATATTGTAAATCTTATACGTCAAAGTCAACAACAATTAATTTTGACAATTGAAAAACCTGGTAAATTATATGTTATGCTTAAAATCTTGAATATAATATTTGACAGAGAAAACAAAATGAAATTGGATAACTAGTATAGGGGTTGTAGAGATTATTAAGTTTTTGATTGACATCATGAACCAACTGATGTTAGACCACCTTTTGGAAATCTGGAAGCACTGGACATCCGATTCGTCCTATTGTGGGACTCCTCAGCAGTGCGCATCCACGGTCCCGCACGCGGGATTCAAACCCAGGACCTTCGGTCTCGCGCGCGAACGCTTAACCTACTGGACCACTGAGCCCGCATCCAGTGGTGGTAGTGTCTAACATCAACCAATCCACGAAATTGCACGACCAACTTCCATTGTACTGAGGTAGATACCTGTCTCTATCCGACATAGATTAGCTCCACTGGTCACGGCTTCTCACTAGAACTCCGAGAATTCCCTCACGAAGCTAGTAACTTGTGAGCACATGTTGATTACTAGTATAGGGGTTGTGGAGATTAAGTTTTTGATTGAACATCAATTCTACGATGCAGGCACATCCGGCTAAGGAGTCCCAAATAAGCTGAAATGCGCGTCGTGAATTCCTTTGCTAGCCACCATACATCTAGTAAAGTAAAGAAATCCAACAACTTGATATCATATAATTATGCATCAATATTATAATGATGTATAACACTTTATATCACAAATTCTAACTCTTAAATTACAGGTTCTTCGGATAAGATCCTTTGTATCTCTCATCATCAAAAACTAGCTATAATTATAAGATAATTATTCTATAGATGTTGCATAACACTACTATATAATGTTTATTTTCTTACATAACGTATATCTTTTTCCTTACTCTTCTATGCATCATACAAGGTTTTCACAAGTTCAATTTTAACTGATGTAAACAATTGATTATGTATATTGGAGTTCTTAGAATTTGAAATAAATGTTCATAACTACATTTAACAAAAGAAACTTGGAATAAATTGTTTACCTTATTAAAAAAAATCATAAAGAAAAACCTCGGCTTAATAGAAATCATCTATCGATAAATGGATCATCACAGTAATCAACAGTTTTCACTATAAGTTGACATTATAGAGAAACTATTTAGTTATGTTCACTTGATGTTGTTTTACTTGTATCTTCCCATTGTTATTTAGGACTGCAATTAATCAGTCCCTTGTTGGCATATGTGTACCCTGGGTGGATTACTTCGATATAGCCTTAAATCACAAGCTTTTTAAGCAATGATGGATCGTAACTAGGAGTGGGCTTCCTGACGCGCGTTTCGTCTTATTTGCGACTCGTCAGCTGGATGTACTTGCATCCCAGTGTTGATGTTCACTCTGCCACTCGGACCCAGTACCGTTCACTTCAAATGACATTGTGTTATCCACTTAGCTACTGAGTCCTGATAATGCAATGATGTTTGAAGTGAACGGTACTGGGTTCGAGTCCCGGAGTGAACATCAGCTCTGGGATACAGGCACATCCGGCTGATGAGTCCCAAGTAAGACGAAATGCGCGTCGTGGATTCCTTTGCTGGCCACCATACATCTAGTAAAGTAATAAAATCCAGCAATTTGATATCATATAATTATGCATTTATATTATAATGATGCATAACACTTTGTATCACAAATTCTGCCTCTTAAATTACAGGTTCTTTGTCTAATGACCAACATAAAAGCCGTACTAACAGTTTAGATGCAGATGAAAACCTTATCCCACCATCTACTTCTACAATGATTTGTTCCAATCCAACTGTATGTTTTCGTCCTACAAATGATTTAAAAACTACAGAAGTAAGTTACAGAGAATATTTAAAAACTATTCATCAGTGAACGTATTACTTAACAATCCACGTATTATTAAGTCAATTCTTGTGATTCAATCGACAAAGTAGCGATACGGTCATCTAAATATTAATACCTTAAATCCTACTGTAACCTAGATTCTAATCAACTTGAATAATATTTATGTCAAAAGTTCTGTTCACTATTCAGATATTTTTATTTCACAATTTATTATCAAGATTCAAATCATGCAGTAAGGCTTAATGTTGTTTTTTCGATTCTGGGAGTCTCAATTTATCATAAGTTAATCAGAAATTCATTATAATGTTTACATTTAATATGATTTTTTTTAAACTAGTGCAGTATTCCCTGACAATCATATTTCTTTCAGAATATAAAGTCAAATTTATCAATAAATCAGTTCCATTCTGATTGAACATACAAATGCATAAATCAAATAATTAACTATAAATTAATTTAAATAATCAATGGTAATTAAAAATAGCAACATGAAGAAAATTCTCGACCTTTTCTGAATGACCAACTCAATAAACTGTACACATCAATGAACTAGTAAAGAAAAACGACCGAATCAAGCAATTATGTCCTAGATTCGGGTAAAATGAAGCAGAACAAAATAAAGTGTAATAAGATTTGTGAGTTTGAATAAATGATAATGGACACAATTTTTCAGTGGTTATTTAAAAGGTTACTTGGCATAGATATAAGAATAAATTATCAAACTCTATAAATCTATATTTATGCATGTGGTTGAAGTATCACAGTAAGATATAGACGTAACCTGATCTTCGATAAATCCGTTTGGAGCATTATTGTGAAAGAATAGCATTTGTCGATATAATTTTAAATTCAAACTTACATGAGCTGATTGGTTCATTCGTAAGTAATTAGAAATAAAATGTTCTGTTTAATTTAATATGTTTTCAATCGAGCCCCCTAAAACTTACTTGCGAATTCAGAAAAGATGAAAGTTTAAGAGTATCTCAGTTAAATATTTTGTTTTATTTCAAACTAGCTGCTGGACGAAAACTGTGTTGTGAAGCCAAGCTTGAATAACATTTCGACTAGAAGCCTATATTCACTTACATTACAACGTGGTCCGAATGGTTTTGGCTTCTCCGTCCGCAGTGGATTCGACTCGAATACATCTCCGTTAATTGTATATCGAATAGCGGATAATGGACCGGCTTTTCAAGAGGGACAAATGAAAGTGAGTTGTATACCAATATGACAATTGTTAATGTCTTAAAAATTATTTACGCCACTACTCAAACAGTCAAGCACCGTTGAGATGGCCGTTATGTCCGGTTTACATAAGTCTCTAAGGAACAAAAACGAAAGATTTGCAACTTCGTGTGGAACACACTAAGAGACTAACTAATCACTTCAGTTTTACTGAATGAGCATAAATGAATCATGCTTTGGCTTTCGGTATCATACACATTGTTGTTATCGTATATATAGATATATTTATCGCTGTTATATGTACTCATGTTGACAAGTATAAAGAATAATCAGTGAAATAGCTTATATATATATATATATATATATATATATATATATATATATATATATATATATATATATATATATATATATATATATATATATGGCCTTCAACAGATAAATAATTCTTGAGTCACCCATGTAATTTATTGGACGTTTCTTTATGACCACTGTGTTTCTAGTTAATAATTACATTGATGGAAATGGCAACACATAGTCCAACACTCGATATATAATACTATCTTTATTGTTATCATCATTTAGGTCGGAGATGAAATTCTAGAGATTAATGGGATTAGTACATTTACAATGACACATCAACAAGCTGTCACATTGATTAGATCAAGTGGATCAACTCTAAGAATTCTATTGCAACGTTTCAATGAAAATCAATATGAATATTCATTTTAAAGAAAAAACGACGATGATGACAACAACAACAGAGGAATGCTTATAGAAAATACATGAAGATATAGACATAGGTAGAAAAATAAATGTTGATAAATTTCATCATTTAAGTTTTGTATAGAGAAAATATATTTCCGAAATTGTACAGTTAATCAGATTTTAAAATTTTCATTAAAACACAAATGTACAATTCTTCTTATGCTGTTTGACTTTAAATATATGTAAAGATTAGTTTAAGTGGTAAATTGGTCTTTTTTATAATCATAAATTAACATCAACTGAGGAATTATTAGAAACTAAGCAATATTAGATAATTGTTTCATCTCAGTATAAAACTCATTAGAAGTGTACATTCACAACTTCACTAAGAAGGGGATCTTTTATAACCTAATGAAATAATATTAAGAAATTGACACAAGTATTACAAGTTATTTTACCGAAATAGTTAATAACCAAAGAGGAATTTAATAAAACATAGAATAATTGTAAATAATACGTAATATGAAATCTAGAAGGACTAGTTATACATTGATGTATAAAAATATTATAAAGTCTAAGACTTTTATGAATAGATTTCTAGATCCTTTTAAGAGAATCAAAACTCAAACACGTTTAAACATTTCTCGTTTGATAAACATAAACAGATGGTCATCTCCATCTCGTGCTAGATTTGCAAGAAAGCACTAGTAACTACTGTGAATGTTCCTGTAAGTACAGAACAGTTGGAATCTGACTAACAGTGCAATGTAGGACACGTACTTCATCCTATTTGCGACTAGTCGGCTGGATGTAGCTGCAAACCAAATTTGACTGATGTTCACTCCGTGACTCGTAACTGGTACCTCTCCTTTTAAATGCCCATGTTATCCACTTAGCTACTGATTCCAAATAACATCTCACAAACTGACTATATAATATTCTCAAATTTTAGCCACCATAAAGATGGTTTACAGTTAGAGGTATAGCTTATCCTTTAACCTACTTCAATTTAAACAGGTAATTTGTACTATTAGCGCTAAAATTGAAGCAAATATAACTGAAGACTGAGTAAGCAAACATGTAGGTGGCTGGTTACATCAATTAAAAACATAATTTCAAGAAACTAAACCAGCAAGGACATTAATTAGAATCACTAAATCCTTGGGTGATATAATATACATGATTTTAGAAAGTGTATTATATTGTTCCTTATTCTTGTACACAAATAGTACAGTCTTGGCTTTTTAGTAACAAATAACATATCTAAACAATTGTGGACCTAATTTCGCATGCATTTTGCAAAACTTTGATTTTTGAAACATAACATAATATACCTTTAACGATGCATAATAAAACTTAGTTAATTGATACGAATGACTATTAAACAATTAATATAATAGAAATTCATTAAATTACATGTAACGCTAAAAATTCCCCCTACCCCAACACCCATCCATTCAATAATATTACGACTTAAGCGTTGCTTTGTGATCAATACATTTTACCAACTAAACATAAAATACATGTACACAATTCATTATTCTATATTTATAAATAAATGACCTCAATTTAGTTCTATGATGATTATTTTTCTTAAGCTTAACTATAACTTAATTTGAATACAAGTAGTTTTTTGTCATTAAAAAAATTTATTCTCTTTTACACATACAAAAAGAGAAAATGATACACATTGTAAAATAAGTAAATAAAAAATACAGAGTAGACGAGTGAGAAGAGGGAGGGAATAATTGAAACACAAACCTAGAAATGTTTGCATTAAAATATATCCACTAGAAATGGTACAGTTACAACCGCCACTATCACCATCACAACAACAATGATAAAAAGCAAACGAATAAATTTATTATTTTCATACAAAAGAACGATTCATTAAAAAAAATCCTAAGCAGAAAAAAAAGAAATTCTTTTCCCTTTTCTCCACCATCTCTCACTATTCATTGCCACAGTTACAATTTTCTTGTGGTTTTCTAAGAGAACATGAGAAATACGCTGGGAGGGAGAAAACACAACAAAATAACAAATACTAGAGACGCAAAACAATTTTCACACTATAAACTGTACATAATAGAATTATAATTAATGATAACAGTACTAGTTAAAAAGCATAATAATCTTATACACTGAAAAACATACATCTGATTTGTTTATGATAAAAAAAGATTTTTTTTTACTTCTGAAAGATGTTAATGATGTGATAGTAAGTTTACAGAGATAAGATGGAATGAGTCACAAATAATTAAGTAGAGTGAGTGAATGAGTGAGCAGAGGAATACAAAGGCAAAATGGTGAAAACTGAGTTTAAACTTGAAAGAAAAAAAAGTTAAGGAGTTAACGAAGTAAAGATGAAAAATTTGCTGAGTATTTTTCTTTTAATATACATTTATTATTTTAAAAAATAATCCTATTCAGTAGTATATCTAACACAGAAAATATGTATTTTTTTTTGAAAAATAAGGTTAAATAAAAATTTTAATTAAAAAAAAAGCCTAGAAATAGTACACACAAAAATACATGAATGAAGGCATAAATAAGTACTAATTACAAATATTCATATCGTCTTAATCCATTAACATTCGACTGATCATTGTAATGTATCCCATTACTAATCATCATCGTTATGTTATTATTACGTAATAATAGAGAAAACGTTTTGAAAGAGAAAGAATTAAGAAGAGATTAATATACACATTATTGGTATTACACAAATTTACAGATAGTTGACTCCTTACAAAAACGATAACTATGTCTGATAAAATACTAATAATGTTTTTAAAAAAAGAAAAAGGAAAGAAGAGAAAATGAAGACATTCAACTATAACAATCATGTAATATAAATATAAATATATTTATGAAGTAGAAGTAGATAATTTTTTACTTGGACTAATATTTTGTTGTTCTTGAAAAAGCCATACTTCATGAACAGCTTTTTTATGTTTATCTAAACGTGATTCTGAAGCAAGTAACATTCCACATATATGACAACCATAACCTAAATTAGGCACAGATAATACAGTAGGCCAATATTGACTACGATTTGTATGATGATGATGATGATTAGTATTAGTAGTAGTATTTGTTGATTTTAATGTTAGTAAATGTTTTAATAATTTTTCAGTTGATTCAAATAATGGTGAATCATGTGAACAGCCTGGACAAGCGATAGATTGTGATAATAAGTTATTAGATAATTCATTTTTATGAATGAATGATTTATTATTATGATGAGACATTAAAGTTTGATGAACTTTTAAGCCAGTTCCAGATCGAAATTCTCGATTACACTGTTCACAAATTACAGAAGTTTTAACTTGTGAAATATTGTTCGTCGATAAAATAGATTTTTGTTTATTGGATCGATTTGGATGAGATGAACATCGTGCACGATGTATTTGAAGGTAACGCCAACACTTAAATCCAGAACGATTACACCAAGAACAAGTAAATAATGATGATGATTCATTGATTTTTAAACTACAATCAGATGCTGGGACAGTTGTTGCATTTGAGATGATAGATCTGACATCGTCAATTAAATTATCACTTAAAGATTGTGTAGACACCGATGATCGACGACTACTATAGGGTAAATAAAAAAGGTTAAGAGAAAATAGTATTGATCATTTCAAATTTTACAAAATTGACCTCTGATTACCGTTACAAAAACATTTTAATCATCTTGTTTTATTCACATTATAATCTGTTGATAACTTATTGGTTTAACAAAACTTTATGTTTGCACATACAATCTTTTTATTGTTGTCGCTCGTATTATGCAAACTAGTATTATAATCTCTTTAATGCATCATCACATTTATTCCTTGTTCATATGACCTCATAGAACTAATACCTTAACAAAAAATATATATAAGCTTACCATTTAGATATTTCTTCTTCGATACGTGGATGACGAAGTGAATATGGAGAAACTGATCTATTTTTTCTTCTATTTAACTTTGATATAATAGATGGAGTTTCTATATTCCGGATACTTTGATTAGATTGTAATGATAGTCTGCGACTTCGTAAGCCAAGAGAATAAGTCTTTCCAGTTAGGATAGATGAATTATTGGATGACGAATGAGTTTCAGATATTTGTTTCATCTGTATATTTATTTAATATAAAAATAAAAGATGTAGATGAATTATTGAATATATCTGATGATATAGTTACAAAAGACCGGTGACTTGTTAAGTAACACTTCCAAAATAAATCGAGGAACGACTTTATGTTCAATGGAAATAGTTCTTGATTTCATGTAGTCGGGAAGTAAAATGCAAAAATCACACTACCTATGATAGTTTACAATTAGAAAAAGAATTTCAAATTCCACTGATAGGCAACAATTTTGGACGATTTTGTGTGACAGATTATAATAATGCCTTTATTTAATGCAAAAGATTTAGCTACAACAAAGAACTCTCAGCGCAAAACACTCAAGGTTGTAAGAAATACCACCCGCTTTCTACTGGTATCCATATACTTGTGAATACTCATATGAACAGATTAAAAACCTTTTAACCCCCCATCAAAATGTTTCATCATACAATATATTTAATGTATAAACGACAATGTGGAAGTCTGCAATCGCTTGAAAGAACAAACAAGAAGGTAAAAATATTAACTCTACAATAGGATTGCAGAATTTTTAGAATATGTGAGTACATTCGATGGAACCGAATGGAAAACATTGTTTAAGATTAGCCGAATCTTTACTAAAATAAAGAATGACTTATGATAATAGAAACACGAACATGTGTATGAACAGAATAACGCTTATTTCAATAATTTGTGCGAGTAATCATACTACCGTAAGTTCAAAAAATAAGGAAGGCAAGATAATTGAACAATTAACTACAAAAACGCTAAGCAATCACAAAATTATTTTCATCGATACACATCACAAGATTCAGCAAATAAATTAACTCAATAATATCAGTATATAGAAAAAAAACGGAATAACTAATTGAAAGGAAAAACCAATCAAAAAGTAAAACGAAGCTAAAATACATAAATCAAGTAAATCTTTTGACGGACAATCTTTGAAATCTCAAGCTTGTATCAGTTCACCCTCAGAATGACAAATGTCATGATCAAACTTCAAAAACTCTTGAATAGGATGATGAGTGGTAACATTACTTTGACGAATTTCAGATAACTCGGTGATGATTTAGTCTTCTGAACAACACTTTCCAACAAGACATAAATAAATGTAAAAAATTTAGAAGACTTTAGACAATATACAAAACGATAGAAAAGGTACAGTAAATAAAAAACAAGTATGGTTATATGTAAATTTGACTGAAGCCTTGTCAAAAAAAATAGCAAAAGATTGCGAATGGAATTTTTGTATCCAACAAATACTAAAAAAAATATTTACATGGTTGTTTAAATGGACGATCATCGAAATTCACAACAATAAATTAAATCATATAGTCAACTAAACATGAAACATTCAAACAATAATAACAACTACCTCACCTCATCAACTACCTGCCCGATATTCTCATTCTCAACAACTTTGGAATCCAACTTCACCGACTCTGAATATTCTTTCCATGTCAAATTCGATACCATCTCATTATCCATGCATCCACCACCATTCAAACACTCCCCTGATTTCCTTATACCAGAGTTATTATTCTTCACATAGTCTGTTCTCTTACGAGTCCTAATCAGATCCACCTAAAAACATTCATCAATAAAAAATTTTTACCCTTACAAACAATTTAATCACGAACATATTCACAAAATACTCATGTTGAACATTCCAAAACACAAAACTCTTCGTCACTTACTACTTCCTCTCCCCCAAACTCCCTCCCTCACACACTCTCCCATACACTCACCACGATCGAAAAACAATGCTACTACAACCATTTCATGATCATCACCGAACATGAACATCAAACTCATTCAATCTAACCACTCCTCACCTACCTACCTACTTACCTGGTGGTTCGATTGACGTGCATGACGTAAAAGTGACGTTCTATGGCGATACCTCAATGAACACATGTTACATTTGAAGGGAGTAGCAGTTAAATTTTCATTCGAAACATCTTGTTCACTCGATTTTCCTGTTGTTGTCGTCGTCGTCATTGTTGTTGTTGCTGTTGTCGTTGTTGTTGCTCCTTCTGATGTCTCCAGTCCACTCGTCGATGGAGACATCCGATTCTTCTGTTCATCCTACACAAGTGAGGGATAGTTAGAACGGAATAACAGCCGTCATTACAAAAAAAATTTACACACTCTCATACTGTATCTATTTCCCTAATAAACAAACAAACACACACAAATTCAAAATAAGTACTTACTTCAGTGGGGTTGTCCTGATGACATCCAGTCGAAAACAGATGTTCATCGGTACAATCATGTTGTGAGTCTTCTGAATTTACTAAATCAGTCACATTCTTATCTAACGTAGAAAGACCACGAGGATCCAGTGATTTATCACCTGAATTCATTGCAATTTCATTATTGTCTGCATCGCCATTTGAATGTCGGTGATCAACCTGTATATGTGTTGAATAAATTGTAAAAACGGCATTCACTAAGTTGATTTAAAGATAACTAATAAATTTTTATTCTCAGAAAGTCTCATGGATTTAAGCAAATCCATATTTGAACGTTTCATTTTGGTTAAGTTGTTATAAAAAATGGAAAATAATCATGTTTATTATTTTGTTACGTTATTTCTAAAAATCTTTCCTTTCGAAGACATTTTAAAACAGAATAACGAGTTGTTGTTTTTATAGAAGATAAATAAATAAATACCTTTACGAAAGCAATCATTTCAGAAATGTAATACGGGTGACGATTTTGCAGAGAATACTGTTACTTAGATAATTTTTTTTACTTCAAATTTTGATTATGTATGTAGAAATACAGAATTTCGATGGAAAGCCAAAAACGGGTTGAAGTACACGTCGAAGTTACTTTCTCTAAAATATACAGGAACATCCACCGCATTACATTTTACGCAACATCGATTCCTTTTACATGCCAGCAAAGAAATCAACAAACTTGTAGACTTATTTTAGACAGTCCTAAAGTTGTATGTAAACTGTCTTTTGGTTTTAATGGGCAGTGAAACTGTTCAAATATATCTAAGAGTTGTAGCCCCACTCCTATTTCGTGATTCATAGGTTTATGGTTTATCTCCTATTCACCAAACTTTAATGTAAAAAAATATTAATAATCTGATTTTATATGTTAAATTTAAAATCTGTAAACGATTTTAACGGTTGGATGAATAAAGTTTCTTATGAGCCGTGATTATGAGCATAAAGAATGTACATAATTTATAGTATACTCGAAGAATTTCGCAGCCTACTATGACAAAGTGAAGGTACAGTGAATGTATTACAGAAGAAAATCACCTTAACTTTATACAATTGTCCATACTTTAAAAAGTTAGCATTAAATGAGTACATAACCTCAATACAGTTCTCTAACAATCAGTCAGTCTCACAAATGTATCGTTTACTTTACAAGGTAATAGAATGATAAATCCGAGACTGTTATTTTTCTGCTTGAATAGGCATATCTACTAAATAGTAAATCAAGATTAGCCAATCTTGTATTATGTACTTCTTAGTGATGACTCAAATTTAGTGATTACGTTTATAAATAAAAACTTCACCCAACTCTGGAAAAAATTTACCACAGTCCAAATGGCGTACTTTGAATAGTTCTGAAGGATAAGGTAAGTGGTGTAAGTTTCAAACTCAAAGAGAACATTATCGCTTTTGAATTAGCATATTCGTCTAGCTCAGAAGTCCCACCTGCGAAGACGACCAATCACAAACAAGATTGTCAGCATGAACTGATTTTTGTATTTGAGAGAGGGAGAAATCTGTCCCAGACATTTACCAATATTGAAGCATATAAATATATAAATACAATAGCAAAAAAGAGATAAACGGTCAAAACTGTATACCTTATTAAGCTCAGTATTCGACATTCCACCCTTGAATAACTCTTTTCTTGAATTCTTCAACTGTGGTGTCACCTTGTGAGTAGGGGTAAACACAAAATGAAATTTGCGTTTATTTCTCCGTACCGCAGGCTTTGGTTTTGGGGTACTGCGCTATAAAATAAAAAATAATATACCCTTCGTTTTCATTACGAATTATAACTGATCAAAAGAACTTATTGAGTGCAAAACGCCTATAAAATTTCAACGGATATTGAACAACACTATTACACAAATTCCACAATCATAGACACACTAAATGATAATAAAGTAGGTTATGTACGTGGGTCATAACTATTCCAACGACTTACCGTACTTAGTGAAATCCTAGCCTTACAAGAGGCTATGTGTCTAGAAAAGTTTGAACGATTATGGATCACACGATAGCAAAATGAACATGTATAAGGTCCACCGTAAGAGGGTCTGTAATTTTGCCAAATATTTTCATCGGACTATAATAAAGACATAGGTACAATAAAATAAACAGTTATCAAGTATTAAAGGCAACACAACTTTACCCCTAAGTCTAAAACAAAAGTCCTCCCCCTAAAACACATCTCTACATCAAAACAAGAATTTAAACGATAATTTCCTAAGAACGATTCTTTGATGAAAACTATCAAGAAGTTGGAACGATTTCAAAATGCCTATTGGTGAATGAGTACGGGAATACCACTGAGAAAATTACATGTAGGGGGTTAAATAATAAATAATAATAATAAAAAATAATAATATTAATAATCTGATTTTATATGTTAAATTTAAAATTTGTTAACGATTTTAACGGTTGGATGAATAAAGTTTCTTATGAGCAGTGATTATGAGCACAAAGAATGTACATAATTTATAGTATACTCGAAGAATTTCGCAGCCTACTATGACAAAGTGAAGGTACAGTGAATGTATTACAGAAGAAAATCACCTTAACTTTATACAATTGTCCATACTTTAAAAAGTTAGCATTAAATGAGTACATAACCTCAATACAGTTCTCTAACAATCAGTCAGTCTCACAACTGTATCGTTTACTTTACAAGGTAATAGAATGATAAATCCGAGACCGTTATTTTTCTGCTTGTAATAACAGATCATAACAGTAAAATAATTGACTTGGAGATGAATTCTTGTGAAAATCTCTTACCTTGTGGTTACATTTATGCCGCTGAAGTGATTTTCGGAACCGAAAAATTTTATGACAATCAGAACATTCGTGGCATGACTGAATAATAGTCGGGCTCGACACTGGAATTTGAACTTCATTTTCAGTTACACAATTATCAACATTTTGATAATGACATATTAAAGGGGAAGAGATCTTTTTATCAATCTTAGGTAATAAAAGGAACCGAAATACATGGAAAACACAACTTTAGTGAAGGATGCTGAGATACAACCTTGAGCACTTTAATGCCAGGATGAGTTTGAAAAAAGTGAGGGATAGTTAGAACGGAATAACAGCCGTCATTACAAAAAAAATTTACACACTCTCATACTGTATCTATTTCCCTAATAAACAAACAAACACACACAAATTCAAAATAAGTACTTACTTCAGTGGGGTTGTCCTGATGACATCCAGTCGAAAACAGATGTTCATCGGTACAATCATGTTGTGAGTCTTCTGAATTTACTAAATCAGTCACATTCTTATCTAACGTAGAAAGACCACGAGGATCCAGTGATTTATCACCTGAATTCATTGCAATTTCATTATTGTCTGCATCGCCATTTGAATGTCGGTGATCAACCTGTATATGTGTTGAATAAATTGTAAAAACGGCATTCACTAAGTTGATTTAAAGATAACTAATAAATTTTTATTCTCAGAAAGTCTCATGGATTTAAGCAAATCCATATTTGAACGTTTCATTTTGGTTAAGTTGTTATAAAAAATGGAAAATAATCATGTTTATTATTTTGTTACGTTATTTCTAAAAATCTTTCCTTTCGAAGACATTTTAAAACAGAATAACGAGTTGTTGTTTTTATAGAAGATAAATAAATAAATACCTTTACGAAAGCAATCATTTCAGAAATGTAATACGGGTGACGATTTTGCAGAGAATACTGTTACTTAGATAATTTTTTTTACTTCAAATTTTGATTATGTATGTATAAATACAGAATTTCGATGGAAAGCCAAAAACGGGTTGAAGTACACGTCGAAGTTACTTTCTCTAAAATATACAGGAACATCCACCGCATTACATTTTACGTAACATCGATTCCTTTTACATGCCAGCAAAGAAATCAACAAACTTGTAGACTTATTTTAGACAGTCCTAAAGTTGTATGTAAACTGTCTTTTGGTTTTAATGGGCAGTGAAACTGTTCAAATATATCTAAGAGTTGTAGCCCCACTCCTATTTCGTGATTCATAGGTTTATGGTTTATCTCTTATTCACCAAACTTTAATGTAAAAAAATATTAATAATCTGATTTTATATGTTAAATTTAAAATTTGTTAACGATTTTAACGGTTGGATGAATAAAGTTTCTTATGAGCAGTGATTATGAGCACAAAGAATGTACATAATTTATAGTATACTCGAAGAATTTCGCAGCCTACTATGACAAAGTGAAGGTACAGTGAATGTATTACAGAAGAAAATCACCTTAACTTTATACAATTGTCCATACTTTAAAAAGTTAGCATTAAATGAGTACATAACCTCAATACAGTTCTCTAACAATCAGTCAGTCTCACAACTGTATCGTTTACTTTACAAGGTAATAGAATGATAAATCCGAGACCGTTATTTTTCTGCTTGTAATAACAGATCATAACAGTAAAATAATTGACTTGGAGATGAATTCTTGTGAAAATCTCTTACCTTGTGGTTACATTTATGCCGCTGAAGTGATTTTCGGAACCGAAAAATTTTATGACAATCAGAACATTCGTGGCATGACTGAATAATAGTCGGGCTCGACACTGGAATTTGAACTTCATTTTCAGTTACACAATTATCAACATTTTGATGATGAGATATTAAAGGGGAAGAGATCTTTTTATCTTTTTATACATGGAAAACACAACTTTAGTGAAGGATGCTGAGATACAACCTTGAGCACTTTAATGCCAAGATGAGTTTGAAAAATTCCAGCACAAGTTACATATATAGTGATATTTAAAAATAAATGCAGCAAGTAGATAGGACTCCAGATTAAATGACATTGTAAATAACTGAATAGGCATATCTACTAAATAGTAAATCAAGATTAGCCAATCTTGTATTATGTACTTCTTAGTGATGACTCAAATTTAGTGATTACGTTTATAAATAAAAACTTCACCCAACTCTGGAAAAAATTTACCACAGTCCAAATGGCGTACTTTGAATAGTTCTGAAGGATAAGGTAAGTGGTGTAAGTTTCAAACTCAAAGAGAACATTATCGCTTTTGAATTAGCATATTCGTCTAGCTCAGAAGTCCCACCTGCGAAGACGACCAATCACAAACAAGATTGTCAGCATGAACTGATTTTTGTATTTGAGAGAGGGAGAAATCTGTCCCAGACATTTACCAATATTGAAGCATATAAATATATAAATACAATAGCAAAAAAAGAGATAAACGGTCAAAACTGTATACCTTATTAAGCTCAGTATTCGACATTCCACCCTTCAATAATTCTTTTCTTGAATTCTTCAACTGTGGTGTCACCTTGTGAGTAGGGGTAAACACAAAATGAAATTTGCGTTTATTTCTCCGTACCGCAGGCTTTGGTTTTGGGGTACTGCGCTATAAAATAAAAAATAATATACCCTTCGTTTTCATTACGAATTATAACTGATCAAAAGAACTTATTGAGTGCAAAACGCCTATAAAATTTCAACGGATATTGAACAACACTATTACACAAATTCCACAATCATAGACACACTAAATGATAATAAAGTAGGTTATGTACGTGGGTCATAACTATTCCAACGACTTACCGTACTTAGTGAAATCCTAGCCTTACAAGAGGCTATGTGTCTAGAAAAGTTTGAACGATTATGGATCACACGATAGCAAAATGAACATGTATAAGGTCCACCGTAAGAGGGTCTGTAATTTTGCCAAATATTTTCATCGGACTATAATAAAGACATAGGTACAATAAAATAAACAGTTATCAAGTATTAAAGGCAACACAACTTTACCCCTAAGTCTAAAACAAAAGTCCTCCCCCTAAAACACATCTCTACATCAAAACAAGAATTTAAACGATAATTTCCTAAGAACGATTCTTTGATGAAAACTATCAAGAAGTTGGAACGATTTCAAAATGCCTATTGGTGAATGAGTACGGGAATACCACTGAGAAAATTACATGTAGGGGGTTAAATAATAAATAATAATAATAAAAAATAATAATATTAATAATCTGATTTTATATGTTAAATTTAAAATTTGTTAACGATTTTAACGGTTGGATGAATAAAGTTTCTTATGAGCAGTGATTATGAGCACAAAGAATGTACATAATTTATAGTATACTCGAAGAATTTCGCAGCCTACTATGACAAAGTGAAGGTACAGTGAATGTATTACAGAAGAAAATCACCTTAACTTTATACAATTGTCCATACTTTAAAAAGTTAGCATTAAATGAGTACATAACCTCAATACAGTTCTCTAACAATCAGTCAGTCTCACAACTGTATCGTTTACTTTACAAGGTAATAGAATGATAAATCCGAGACCGTTATTTTTCTGCTTGTAATAACAGATCATAACAGTAAAATAATTGACTTGGAGATGAATTCTTGTGAAAATCTCTTACCTTGTGGTTACATTTATGCCGCTGAAGTGATTTTCGGAACCGAAAAATTTTATGACAATCAGAACATTCGTGGCATGACTGAATAATAGTCGGGCTCGACACTGGAATTTGAACTTCATTTTCAGTTACACAATTATCAACATTTTGATAATGACATATTAAAGGGGAAGAGATCTTTTTATCAATCTTAGGTAATAAAAGGAACCGAAATACATGGAAAACACAACTTTAGTGAAGGATGCTGAGATACAACCTTGAGCACTTTAATGCCAGGATGAGTTTGAAAAAAGTGAGGGATAGTTAGAACGGAATAACAGCCGTCATTACAAAAAAAATTTACACACTCTCATACTGTATCTATTTCCCTAATAAACAAACAAACACACACAAATTCAAAATAAGTACTTACTTCAGTGGGGTTGTCCTGATGACATCCAGTCGAAAACAGATGTTCATCGGTACAATCATGTTGTGAGTCTTCTGAATTTACTAAATCAGTCACATTCTTATCTAACGTAGAAAGACCACGAGGATCCAGTGATTTATCACCTGAATTCATTGCAATTTCATTATTGTCTGCATCGCCATTTGAATGTCGGTGATCAACCTGTATATGTGTTGAATAAATTTTAAAAATTAAAATAAATTATCACAACTACAGATGATTAGTTTACGAGTACGGAACATTTAGTGCCACATAACGGCGACAAATGTTCAACAACGTATTTGACTATTTTATTGATAAGTTGAACCATAATCAGTAGATTTAGGATGTAAGTTAATTACGCTAGTCTGGAAGAATAAAAAAGGTGAAACTGAATTTTAAAAAATAAACTCACTACTGATTATTACTATGTTTTCACAAAATTTTAATATAAGAATGGAGTTCAAAATCAATAATTTTGGTATATTGGAAGATGGTCATCATTGAAAAGGGGGGGGAGTATTTGACATTGTTTATACGCAGAACAACCGTTCATTACTAGGCGTTTAATAAACATAGCGGAACCAAAAACATTTGACAAAACTTAAGGGTGTCTATTTATTTATTTATGATGTAGTGAACGAGAACTCAGGTGGGGAAGACCAATTTATTGTTTAATACAAAATTACAGAGTACTTACGAAAAATATGAAAACCATACATTAAATACATAATTTCCACATCTTCCATCAGTTGTCGTTTACATACTTCCTGATTCTTTCAATTCTCTTGTTACTACAATTAAATTCTGTTTCCCTTTCTGTTCATCTCAACTGGATCTTCTTAATCTTTTGTTGGCATGCATTCCACTTCCGATTGGTGCTACATACTAGTTATACCTGTCAATATAACTAGCATACACCACAATGACAGAATGCTTTTTGTAAGTAAAAAAGAATAAATCCATCACACAAAGTGAAGTGACAGTGCATTGCGGAAAACCAAAGTGGGGTCATAGGACAATAAAGAGACCAAGAATTAAAGTGTATAGATCAACGAAAGATATAATTACAGTTTACTGTTTATGATAAACTCAAAAAGAGTAACGTCACATTGAGTGGTACACATTATTGCTGTGAGTCATGTCTCACAAATCCCCAAATCACTTACTTCGAATCCATGTTAAAAGTTATGGTACATCAATTATGCTTAATCTATTACGTCTATCATTAATTCATTATCATTATACTGTTGGCTAACTTTCTGTTTTCTTTAACAAGTGTAAGCTCCAGTACATAATATTCCATATAGAAACCACAAGGACATAAATAATACGTGTTCACATCAGGAAAACTAGTGTTTATAAATGGCGTCACTGAATGAACGATGATTTCCGTTAAGAATAAACTCATTTTATGAAAATCGAGAAAACTGATGAAATGTATGTAATAAAAAAGTAGGCCAGCTTAAATGCCCACTTACAAAACAACTTAACCTAATGAAGATTCCTGTAACTTCATACAAGATAGCTTCGTGAACAGCATCCACCAGCTCTACAACTAACAATATGGTTAACAGTATTGGTTAATTGACATTTGACTTATTTGCAAACATCATCATTACGGTGTTCTAGTTATGAAGACCAGTTTGAAACTGATTTCAACAACCAAAAAATGGTTGGATTTTTCCTTTACTTTCAAGTGAACTGGACCCAGCATAGCTAAACAAGTACAATAAACCCATATTATAATAAAACCCATACAATTTCTACTTCGTAGCACCTACACAACTATGCTGAACAACGATTACTAAAGAACCGATGATACTGTTGCCTAAAGCTAGTAGTGAAAGGGGATGATTTTATGATATGTTGAAGTATTATTGAGTTTGAACAACATGCCTTATAGGTAGCCTCTAATGTGCTAGGTTCATTGACGCAAGTAAGCGCTGGATACATTGTTTGAACCAAAACTATAAATTTACTAGCAATGATACAATAAGTTATCAGGTCAGAAACATAATCAGTTAAGTCCACAGGCCAAAACTATAAATTTATTTGATCGGTTTTTTTAAGCCAATATTTCAGACTCGTGTTTCATCCTATATAAATGTAGAATTCGCCCACAAAAGTCTTGAAACATGTTGGTGGCATGCGTAAAGCTCCTGTTTATTGCACATATATAGTAGCCAATTTTCGCCAACTACAGAGTATTATCAAGACGTTTAATCCGAAAAGACTTGTTTCTTACACTTACGATCAAGAAATTAACATCAAGTCCCAAAAACAACAACAACATTATCCAAACATCAGTATCATTGCGTCCCACTCGAACTTAGCTGATCCAGTTTATATAATTATAAAGCCGAACGAACTGATAGGTGTTTGTTTCGACTTCATTACCAGTCTGAGAGGGCGACTTAAACAACGCCACCGATTGACAATCAATTGTCCACTAGTCAAAATGGCAGTAGTTACTTAGTGAAATTCAACGTAGCTAATGTTTAATAACATATAATGATTTGGAGAATTTAGTAACATACTCTGGAAGTAACTCCATTTTATCCAAATATTCTTGGCGGTCAAGTAGTACTACACCAGCTTCTTTGTCAGGTTTACTAAGGATTAAATCCTTATTTCTTTTCAGGAGTATTAGCTGCAGTCACGGATACGTTAATGCGCAATGTAGCAGGAATAACCTATTAACTAAGAACCACTTGGATCAGCTAATACTCCTGAAAAGAAATAAGGATTTAATCCTTAGTAAACGTGACAAAGGAGCTGGTGTAGTACTACTTGACCGCTAAGAATATTTGGATAAAATGGAGTTAATTCCAGAGGATGTTACTAAATTCTTCAAACCTAAAGAAGTTGATAAAATATAATGATTTATTTCTACACCGATAGCTATCGGTTACAAACAAACATTATGGGTTAGTATAGTACAACAGGTTTTTACCGTATTCGACAAGTCCTCAGAGGCATTTTAACAGTTGATGAAAGCAATTTTAGCAGATACATCGAATGCTTACACCTAAATCTATGATACCTTCATTGTCGCAAGTTCACCAGAAGAACTATATACCCAAGATCAGTTTATTCTACAACATATGCAAACCCATAAATTACACGGATTAAAAATATGTCCACTCTGTTTATGCTTAATTAGATACCTATGCTTTTGCCACCGATCTGAACCGAAGAACATTAGGGTCATGGAAAAATGAAAATATTTCAAATAAATATCTTACACTCGTTCTTGAGTCTATTTAGTAACTACTTTGTATTTTCAAAATTTATGAATAAATGCATTGTTAAACCAACATCTGTTGGGACTGATCAACATATTGGTACAATGTTTTACAGAATTGAAAACTATTTTGAAGTATATTGACAAAATACAATCCAAATGATCTCAACAATTGTTAAAAGTAATGCATTTATTTATGGTGTAGAGGCAGCGATCCTACTTAAACTCCGAAGTGACACAGAAAGGCAGCAACACACGAAAGCAGACCATAAACTTTAATGGAAATGGTGAGCAGAAATCGAAGAAGTACTACCACTGTTTATCACACCAGAATGCTTTAACAAATTAATTTATGAGAAACACTTCACTTTGTTATCGAAGCGGAAACCACTCAGTGTAGTATTCAGGTTGAATTTCCAAAACTTGGTAAATTTGGCCAAATATCTACACTAACATGGAACAGCCATTACGGAGCACGACTGAAAAGACAATATGTTATACCATAAACTCCGTTAGTTCCAACAAAATTTCCAGTAGTAACTACCTTATCACAAACGAAGGCAGTTATTCCCAACGTCTCCGGAGACCGTGCAAACCACAGCTCCGACAATGCAGTGTAGAGCGCTCCGACTAGCAAAAGAATGAGAACGCTATATACAAAGGCAAGTGACTACGAGTTATGCCCTAAATTCAGTAAAATAGTTATTAGTTCTTCAAGATGATCCACAATAGCTATTTGAATAGCAGTTTCTTTACACCATATAACGAGGAATGACAAGTTAAAATGTTGCCAAAACAGCAAAAACAATCATTACTCTAATTTTATTCAGGATGTACATTTCTGGTATTGTATTTAGTGTGTACTATTCACACCCAAAGACAGATTCGATTACACTGATAATAATATCAAGACCGTTGGATGATTATTTCGCCATCCTCTTCTGAAAACAATTGTGTCCGGCAAGGAGACACAAGTTCACAATACGATTACTATCCTAATTCGATGTCGAAAAGTCGATAACCAGATTCATTCATCAGCAAAGTCCAGTGGATAAATCAAAAAATCCCTAAACGCATTTACACTGACACATTCTATTAGTCTCAACTAATTTATTAGAGTCATTTCAACTGACAAGAACACTCACCACAAGAGAGTGTATACCGAATTTGACTTTGAGTTTACATACCGAACTACAAATCGGAAAACGAAAAATGAAGAGGTCAAATTCTAAGACAAAAAAAAACATTTCACTTTAATACACGTTTTACTCACAAACCAGGAAGGTTTTCAAGATAAGCGATGAATATCGCATTAGGCATATTTACGACAATAGTAGTTTCATTAAAAACTTTGGAGAAAAGGGAATATAAAATATATGAATTATGTATCTGTTTGCAAACATTTAACTATACCGAAAACAACATAAAGTATTATTTACGAAATTCAATACTTATAAAATTGAGAAATATGAGTAAACTCACAAAACAATTCACCACCTGACCGTTAAATTGGACGATCATCGAAATTCACAACAATAAATTAAATCATATAGTCAACTAAACATGAAACATTCAAACAATAATAACAACTACCTCACCTCATCAACTACCTGCCCGATATTCTCATTCTCAACAACTTTGGAATCCAACTTCACCGACTCTGAATATTCTTTCCATGTCAAATTCGATACCATCTCATTATCCATGCATCCACCACCATTCAAACACTCCCCTGATTTCCTTATACCAGAGTTATTATTCTTCACATAGTCTGTTCTCTTACGAGTCCTAATCAGATCCACCTAAAAACATTCATCAATAAAAAATTTTTACCCTTACAAACAATTTAATCACGAACATATTCACAAAATACTCATGTTGAACATTCCAAAACACAAAACTCTTCGTCACTTACTACTTCCTCTCCCCCAAACTCCCTCCCTCACACACTCTCCCATACACTCACCACGATCGAAAAACAATGCTACTACAACCATTTCATGATCATCACCGAACATGAACATCAAACTCATTCAATCTAACCACTCCTCACCTACCTACCTACTTACCTGGTGGTTCGATTGACGTGCATGACGTAAAAGTGACGTTCTATGGCGATACCTCAATGAACACATGTTACATTTGAAGGGAGTAGCAGTTAAATTTTCATTCGAAACATCTTGTTCACTCGATTTTCCTGTTGTTGTCGTCGTCGTCATTGTTGTTGTTGCTGTTGTCGTTGTTGTTGCTCCTTCTGATGTCTCCAGTCCACTCGTCGATGGAGACATCCGATTCTTCTGTTCATCCTACACAAGTGAGGGATAGTTAGAACGGAATAACAGCCGTCATTACAAAAAAAATTTACACACTCTCATACTGTATCTATTTCCCTAATAAACAAACAAACACACACAAATTCAAAATAAGTACTTACTTCAGTGGGGTTGTCCTGATGACATCCAGTCGAAAACAGATGTTCATCGGTACAATCATGTTGTGAGTCTTCTGAATTTACTAAATCAGTCACATTCTTATCTAACGTAGAAAGACCACGAGGATCCAGTGATTTATCACCTGAATTCATTGCAATTTCATTATTGTCTGCATCGCCATTTGAATGTCGGTGATCAACCTGTATATGTGTTGAATAAATTGTAAAAACGGCATTCACTAAGTTGATTTAAAGATAACTAATAAATTTTTATTCTCAGAAAGTCTCATGGATTTAAGCAAATCCATATTTGAACGTTTCATTTTGGTTAAGTTGTTATAAAAAATGGAAAATAATCATGTTTATTATTTTGTTACGTTATTTCTAAAAATCTTTCCTTTCGAAGACATTTTAAAACAGAATAACGAGTTGTTGTTTTTATAGAAGATAAATAAATAAATACCTTTACGAAAGCAATCATTTCAGAAATGTAATACGGGTGACGATTTTGCAGAGAATACTGTTACTTAGATAATTTTTTTTACTTCAAATTTTGATTATGTATGTATAAATACAGAATTTCGATGGAAAGCCAAAACCGGGTTGAAGTACACGTCGAAGTTACTTTCTCTAAAATATACAGGAACATCCACCGCATTACATTTTACGTAACATCGATTCCTTTTACATGCCAGCAAAGAAATCAACAAACTTGTAGACTTATTTTAGACAGTCCTAAAGTTGTATGTAAACTGTCTTTTGGTTTTAATGGGCAGTGAAACTGTTCAAATATATCTAAGAGTTGTAGCCCCACTCCTATTTCGTGATTCATAGGTTTATGGTTTATCTCTTATTCACCAAACTTTAATGTAAAAAAATATTAATAATCTGATTTTATATGTTAAATTTAAAATTTGTTAACGATTTTAACGGTTGGATGAATAAAGTTTCTTATGAGCCGTGATTATGAGCACAAAGAATGTACATAATTTATAGTATACTCGAAGAATTTCGCAGCCTACTATGACAAAGTGAAGGTACAGTGAATGTATTACAGAAGAAAATCACCTTAACTTTATACAATTGTCCATACTTTAAAAAGTTAGCATTAAATGAGTACATAACCTCAATACAGTTCTCTAACAATCAGTCAGTCTCACAACTGTATCGTTTACTTTACAAGGTAATAGAATGATAAATCCGAGACCGTTATTTTTCTGCTTGTAATAACAGATCATAACAGTAAAATAATTGACTTGGAGATGAATTCTTGTGAAAATCTCTTACCTTGTGGTTACATTTATGCCGCTGAAGTGATTTTCGGAACCGAAAAATTTTATGACAATCAGAACATTCGTGGCATGACTGAATAATAGTCGGGCTCGACACTGGAATTTGAACTTCATTTTCAGTTACACAATTATCAACATTTTGATGATGAGATATTAAAGGGGAAGAGATCTTTTTATCTTTTTATACATGGAAAACACAACTTTAGTGAAGGATGCTGAGATACAACCTTGAGCACTTTAATGCCAAGATGAGTTTGAAAAATTCCAGCACAAGTTACATATATAGTGATATTTAAAAATAAATGCAGCAAGTAGATAGGACTCCAGATTAAATGACATTGTAAATAACTGAATAGGCATATCTACTAAATAGTAAATCAAGATTAGCCAATCTTGTATTATGTACTTCTTAGTGATGACTCAAATTTAGTGATTACGTTTATAAATAAAAACTTCACCCAACTCTGGAAAAAATTTACCACAGTCCAAATGGCGTACTTTGAATAGTTCTGAAGGATAAGGTAAGTGGTGTAAGTTTCAAACTCAAAGAGAACATTATCGCTTTTGAATTAGCATATTCGTCTAGCTCAGAAGTCCCACCTGCGAAGACGACCAATCACAAACAAGATTGTCAGCATGAACTGATTTTTGTATTTGAGAGAGGGAGAAATCTGTCCCAGACATTTACCAATATTGAAGCATATAAATATATAAATACAATAGCAAAAAAAGAGATAAACGGTCAAAACTGTATACCTTATTAAGCTCAGTATTCGACATTCCACCCTTCAATAATTCTTTTCTTGAATTCTTCAACTGTGGTGTCACCTTGTGAGTAGGGGTAAACACAAAATGAAATTTGCGTTTATTTCTCCGTACCGCAGGCTTTGGTTTTGGGGTACTGCGCTATAAAATAAAAAATAATATACCCTTCGTTTTCATTACGAATTATAACTGATCAAAAGAACTTATTGAGTGCAAAACGCCTATAAAATTTCAACGGATATTGAACAACACTATTACACAAATTCCACAATCATAGACACACTAAATGATAATAAAGTAGGTTATGTACGTGGGTCATAACTATTCCAACGACTTACCGTACTTAGTGAAATCCTAGCCTTACAAGAGGCTATGTGTCTAGAAAAGTTTGAACGATTATGGATCACACGATAGCAAAATGAACATGTATAAGGTCCACCGTAAGAGGGTCTGTAATTTTGCCAAATATTTTCATCGGACTATAATAAAGACATAGGTACAATAAAATAAACAGTTATCAAGTATTAAAGGCAACACAACTTTACCCCTAAGTCTAAAACAAAAGTCCTCCCCCTAAAACACATCTCTACATCAAAACAAGAATTTAAACGATAATTTCCTAAGAACGATTCTTTGATGAAAACTATCAAGAAGTTGGAACGATTTCAAAATGCCTATTGGTGAATGAGTATGGAAATACCACTGAGAAAATCACATGTAGGGGGTTAAATAAATTATATAAGGTACACATTTATCCGAGGGGATTAATGACAAAATCACGTTATTGAAAGCATATTAAGCAAGACATTCGAATCCGTGACATAGCGAGTGATTATTTTATTTATTTATTTGAACACAGCTATATTGGTATAGGAGTGCGCCAAATATATATGCGCCACACAAAACAATGAAAATTTAAGAAGAAAAAACAACAATGAGGAACGTAAAAATAATGAAGCGATTGGCATAAGGGAATGTAGTAATAATCATAGTCATAATGAGGGAACGGAAAGGTACAAAAAATTGAGTATTCGAAGAGAAAGAAAACGTAAGGAGCGTGAAAAAGAACAATAACGAACAGATTAGTGTAAGGTAGTGCAATAATAATAATACCGGGGGAAACGGTATGGTACAATCAGAAGAAATCTTTCACTTAAGGAAGAAACAACCATTTTTTATGAAGAAAGTAAAAGAAGGTTACAGCAGGATCGCCACTGGCTTCTATTCTGAGCCATATCTGACAACGTCTCTAGCCACTGTGTTGCACCATCTCTCGGACCCCAGCCAGGGAGTCATGAAGAACCAACACAAGCCAGTCCTTTGCAGCTTTCTTTCATGCCACGACACCATGTCGTATACTGACCACCTCTCCACTTTTTCCAACCAGTCCCAGAATCGGCAAATAGTGCACGACGTGGAGTTCTCTTGGACGACATTCGTAGAACATGTCCAAGCCACCGAAGTCGGTGTTTCAAGATGGTGACACCAATTGCATTATCTTCTCTGTGCCCGAACACACGATGCCGAACCTCTGCATTCCTAACATGGTGTTGCCACTGGATGTCAGCAATCCTTCGGAGACAACGATGATCGAATACAGAGAGTCAGTCGTCTAACATCGTCAACTCGGAGAGGCCATGTTTCACAAGCATAGAGCAGAACTGCTCTCACCGACGCGTTGTAGATCCGACCTTTGCAGCCAGACTAACATCACGAAGGCGCCAATGGTGGCCCAGATTGGCATAAGCCGCTCTGGCTTTCAATATACGTGCATTGATCTCATCACTCACACCCCCACCAGCACTTATGCAGCTACCCAGATACACGAACTTCTCGACAACTTCTATCTGCTAACCATCCAGGATAAGTACAGGATTAGAATCCTGCCAGTCTTATAGAAGTAATTTACAATTCAAAGGTGCAAAACACATCTATCGAACGCACTTTTTGGAGAAGAACAGTTAACTAGTGGTAGAATTCATCCTTGATTGCATCCGGGCTGCAATCTGTCGGAACGTAGGCGGAGATGACGAAATGACATCGTTTCTCATGCCGATTTCTTCTCACTTTGATGGAACTCTCTAATCTAACAGCACATAACCAACTGTTAATGGGGATCCAAACGATTAGTGCTGCCTCAGCTCTAACGCTTAGTGCGACATTTTCGCCATCAAAACCAGACGAAGATGCCACAGGGTCCCCGGATAAGCGCACGTAAAACAAGCTTTTCGAAGTGACAGATGGAGAGCAAATTTGTAATACTTCACCAGAGTCTTGAATACGGGTCTCGGATAGACAACGAACGTCGATGTTAAGACTTTTCAAAGACATAGCCAGCCCTATCTGTTGTCCGACCTGCATAAATGTGCGAACGTTGAAGGCAACCAGTTTGGATGGTGCACGTGGTTTAAGGACGACTGCTTCAGTCTTCGTATTCTGTGGTAACATACAAATTTCAACCGGACAGTGACTCGAGAACGTTTAGATAGAGTCGAATTTCCACCAAAGACGAGCTGCTGTATAAACCGAAAAATAAGTATAGACAGAGTAGGAATAAAAGAGGGTGAATATTGATGCAGTAAATAATAATAATAATAATAATAATAATAATAATAATAATAATAATAATAATAATAATAATAATAGTAATAATAATAGCAATAATATTGGAATCATTTGAATGTTTGTCGAAGCAAGAGAATTAGTTTCCATGATCATAGACAGTTCAGTGCATTAATTGTGTGTGGGCTGTGCTACTGCCCGGGTGCCCAAACCGAAGCAGGTGGTTTTCTTAGGGTGCCACACCCCGAGCCTTTAACCTAATGATCTAACCCACAAGGCAGTGGAGCAGCGTGAGGAGATGCAATCCCATGGTAGCCGGTGACCAACGGTTGGTTCATACGCCATTTGTTCCCGCAGGATACTGGAGCCCATGTGCACTATTGGTTTGGGATCCGGTTAAAGCGCCGGACATTCGCTTTTCGTCCTCTCATTTTCGTAAACAACACCCCCGTCACGAGAAGGCAGTGAGTAGGACTTCCTTGGCAGAGGCTGTATAAGCGTGGCCGTGTGAGAGTATTTCGGGAGGGAGAGCAGACTCTCCCCACTCTCGGTCATACCAGGGTATTTGGGGGCTAGCGGGTGATGGAGAAATACTTAAAATTACTTTGTCATAATTAATCTGATTAAAAATAATTATACTTGGAAAAGGGTAAATATGTTATACTAACTATTTAACATTAGTTGATTAAATATTCCCAATTGATATCAGTCTGACAATAACCTGTCCACTAAAATTATCGCCTCAATCTATTAATAGCATAATGACATATGCTATTCAAGAATTTTCGAAAATAGAAGCAAACACCTATTTAGTGCTCAACTTTTAATAATGTTTTTTGCATAATTCTAATTAGTGAGAAACACTTAGATAAACCTTGATTTCCAAATCTAACATTTTAACTCATACTAGAAATAATATATCGTCATAAGGGAAATAAAATGCACGTTATAAACATACTTCATATGGTTCATTATTATTAGAAGATAAATTATTTTCTGAACGTTTTGTGACTAAGTGAGAATCAAATGTATTAGTAGTTAAGGTATTACGATCTGTTTTTAATGAATCATCAGAATTAATAAATGGATTAGTAGTGGTAGACAGAAAAGGAGTGATTGGATTTGATTGTGAGTCAACATCATGATTCATCTTTGGATTATTCTATAAATAAAAAACGGAAAATAGGTTTGAGAAAATAAATAAATTACATATTTGTTAAAAGCAAATTCTGCCAGATCAAAAATGTTTCCTTGAAAACCTTGATGGTTAAGACAAAATAACTAATAAACACGATACCTAAGTAGTATGACTTGCCTCCACCTATCATCTGAAACCTTCTACACCTAATGTGAGAACGGTTAATCCAACGATCAACTAAATCCTGGCAATATAACTACTACACATCACAAAGAATGATGCATTAGATGTATATTAGTTACGAGCATCCTCTCCTAACGACATGGTACGGCTTAGGGTAAAAAGTTCACTCTTCCTCACCCGCTCTCATGCCCCGACGTGTTTATAGCCTCTGCCAGAGAAGTTTTAATCAGACCAGTACGCAGTGAGACTGTCTACTTTATGTCATAATTAGACAACTATCCCAATAGTAAAAACCATTTTTACATGATTGAAATTATTATTATTATATATATTATATTCTTATTATATAACTCAACTACAAATAAGACTTTTTTCGTATCAATGTACAAATGATCATGTGTTTATAGTTCCCAACAAAGAAGCCTTTCTCAGTACCTGCACTAGGCGGCATCTTTTATGAGAAATAGAAAGCGAAAAGACAACGTTCAGCGATTAATTCTAATTGATAGATACAGAAGATTTACCTAGAAGTCGAAAAACTATGATTGCAAAACGGTGGTGTATATGAGCTCTAGAATCCTGACGAAACGAATGGGGTATGAACTCATTTTTGGTTAACGACTGCCATGGGGATGCATTTGATGAAGTTGTCTGAATGCCTTGTGGACTAGATCTTGAAGCTAAAGGTTTGACGAATGTCCCTAGCCGCGAGAAAACTAACTGCTTCACTTTGAGCTTCAGAGTAATATCTCAGCTCACATAGAAATTTTATGTGTAGCGCACATTATTTTTAGTGTCCAGTTATACCAAATTTTATGTGAGGTATATCAAAAATTCAACGAAATATAATAGAATTTTTACTGAAAAGAAAAAGGAATAAAACACTAACTTGATATGAATTTTGAGGGGAGTTTTTATCCTTTTTTATAGTATTTTCTATTTCGTCTGAATGTCCGTTTTGAAGAGTCTGATTCGCTTGACAAATAACTCCATTGCTTATTGATATCTCTTCATCGACATTATTAACTAGATTAGGGCTTCCCGATGAAATCGATGAAGACTCATACATTCGACCGATTTCGTGCAATTTTTTCTTTGTTAACTAAAGTTTCATTAGCGAAAAAAAGATAGATCATATTCGCATGTTTTAAGAAATGGAAGAACAGGTTGTATATCGACAATCGAAATTAGCCCATAAATCTGAAATGAACAAAATACCAGTGCAACTTCAACACTGACTTAGACACACGCTTATTTCCTTTGTTTCCCTGACCCTAGGAATTTAGTTGGTTTTTTTTCTTCAATTTTACAACTTATTTAGTGCATTAAAAATATATCATGAACCTAGAAACCATATGCCCTGCAACAACTTTTCTTTATTTGCTATCTAGATTGTAGTAGGGTCCTAAAATTGTTAGGTTAGCACTCTATCCTTACATTATTAAGTGCAGAACATACTACAGTAAAAATAAATTATAACAAGTGAAATCTCTGCAACCAATTTTCGAATCCCAACACATACTACGTAGATAAGCAATCGCAAACGAAAGCTTAACGTACAAAAAACGACTTTTTTTCTATCTTAAAAGCAGATGTGATGGGTTTAAACTAATAAATAATCGAATCACTTGGTGAGTTGATTGTGAGAATTGAATTTAGAAATTCAGTATTCTAAAAACACTAAACCACTATCAACAGGAAACAAATAGCTTTATACATCGGAATCGAGTTAAAATATCAAACCAGTTATCTAAATGGATCAAATACAAAAAATGATAGGGAAAACAATTTAAAACATTACATAAAAGTTTAACGGTCCATATGGTTACACATTAAAACAACAAAGAAAATCATAGTTTTAAGATATATAGAAAAATTTGAGTTCGAGGAGAACAGTGATAAAACATTTAAGATCTGAAGGAAGATAAAGTGTTAAGTTATTTGTATTATAGTGATTGATTTTGAAAGATGACAAGCAATACTTTCAGTCACTGAATTATTTAGCATTCATGAAGGTAGTAATGATACAACATAAACGAAAACCATCAGACGAGATTAGAGCATTCGATAGCCAAGCAAAACATTCAAAGAAAAGTTAAGCTTAACAAAAACACTCAGTAGTTACCCCTACATTTTCCACTATTCATCAATGTAATGAATAAGGTGATTATTTAACAACCCTAGAACTACTAAGTACATGATATTATGTACCGGCCTACAGTAAAGACTGCTGAACACTAAGCTTGGTAAATGGTTCTTTGAAGAATAATTCATTTACGATTACAGTTACCTTATAATCACAAATGTCCCGTAATAACACAAAAAGGGAACGTTTTATAGACTGACCATCACTAATGATTACATCACATTATATATAACAATCCAAGAATACAAAGGCGGTGTCAAACAAAATCAATGTTACCAATGACAAAAGAAATTTCCACATATAAAAGCAGCTAATAAGATCTGTTTAGTTAGCTCCCTAATGCCCTGGTATGACCGAGAGTGGGGAGAGTCCGCTCTCCCTCTCCAAATGCTCTCACGTGGCGACGTGTATATAGCCTCTGCCAGGAAATTCCTATACATTGCCTTCTCGTGGCGGGGGTGTTGTTTACGAAAATGAGAGGACGAAAAGCGAATGTCCGGCGCTTTAACCGGATCCCAAACCAATAGTGCACATGGGCTCCAGTATCCTGCGGGAACAAATGGCGTATGAACCAACCGTTGGTCACCGGCTACCATGGGATTGCATCTCCTCACGCTGCTCCACTGCCTTGTGGGTTAGATCATTAGGTTAAAGGCTCGGGGTGTGGCACCCTAAGAAAACCACCTGCTTCGGTTTGGGCACCCGGGCAGTAGCACAGCCCACACACAATTAATGCACTGAACTGTCTATGATCATGGAAACTAATTCTCTTGCTTCGACAAACATTCAAATGATTCCAATATTATTGCTATTATTATTATTATTATTATTATTATTATTATTATTATTATTATTATTATTATTATTTACTGCATCAATATTCACCCTCTTTTATTCCTACTCTGTCTATACTTATTTTTCGGTTTATACAGCAGCTCGTCTTTGGTGGAAATTCGACTCTATCTAAACGTTCTCGAGTCACTGTCCGGTTGAAATTTGTATGTTACCACAGAATACGAAGACTGAAGCAGTCGTCCTTAAACCACGTGCACCATCCAAACTGGTTGCCTTCAACGTTCGCACATTTATGCAGGTCGGACAACAGATAGGGCTGGCTATGTCTTTGAAAAGTCTTAACATCGACGTTCGTTGTCTATCCGAGACCCGTATTCAAGACTCTGGTGAAGTATTACAAATTTGCTCTCCATCTGTCACTTCGAAAAGCTTGTTTTACGTGCGCTTATCCGGGGACCCTGTGGCATCTTCGTCTGGTTTTGATGGCGAAAATGTCGCACTAAGCGTTAGAGCTGAGGCAGCACTAATCGTTTGGATCCCCATTAACAGTTGGTTATGTGCTGTTAGATTAGAGAGTTCCATCAAAGTGAGAAGAAATCGGCATGAGAAACGATGTCATTTCGTCATCTCCGCCTACGTTCCGACAGATCGCAGCCCGGATGCAATCAAGGATGAATTCTACCACCAGTTAACTGTTCTTCTCCAGAAAGTGCGTTCGATAGATATTGTAGTACTAGCGGGAGACTTGAATGTTCAGGTCTGGCATCTAGGCACAAAAGAGAATTGTTTAGGTGGCCGATGGGGACTTGTTGGTCGCGGGACAGATGACGAGGACCGTCTACTGCAACTGTGCACAGACCACAACCTGTTTCTGGCCAGCACTAACTTTCGGCACAGTCATCGCCGATGTGTCACGCGGCGTCCTTCCTCTCCATCTCAGGCCTGGACTCAGATTGATCACATCGCGATCAGCTACCGCTGGCGTGGTTGTGTACAAGACTGCCGCTCCTTTTGGAGTACCTATCTGAACTCTGACCATGCCTTGGTATGCGCCAATCTTACCTTACTTTTCAGTGGCCAACGAAGTGACCACCATCAAAGGATTAATGTCAGCAAGTTGGTTACAACCTCTGTTGCAAGTAAGTATCGAACCGAGCTAGCTTCTAGGCTAGCTACCATTCCACCAAAAAGTATAGATGAGCATTGGTTGCAATTGCATGACACCATGAAAATGGCGAGTGAAGTCACTTGTGGGTTTGCGAAACGTCCCGCTTATAAGCACTGGGTTTCTTCAGGCTCCTTACAACTCATTGAAGCCCGTCGGTCTACTCCGGGTGACCGTGAGTTTGACCATAAACGAAGAATGTTACGTCATGAAATCGGGCAAAGCTTGCGTCAGGACCGAGAAGCCTGGTGGTCGGAGTGTGCTAATGCGTTGGGAGTAGCAGCTGCATCTGGTAATTAACGGAAGCTCTTCCAACTAATCCGAGCCACTGGCAGCAATAAGTCTGGTGTGAGCGAAACAATCTGTGAGGACGACGGGATGCCAATCACTAACATCCATCGACGTCTTGGACGATGGGCAGAATTTTTTGAAGGGCAGTTCAATTGGCCTGCTGCTCCGGCGACATCGGTCAGACTGTCCTGTCCCCCATGGTAGGTGACGACTGATCCACCAAATGAGGCGGAAGTCCGCAGGGAACTCCAACCCTTGAAACGCTACAAATCACCTAGCCCAGATGACTTACCTCCGGCTCTTTTTAAAGATGGTGGTGACTTTCTGACTAAGGAACTGATGACGTTTACAAAGGTCTGGTAGCTAGAGAGTGTACCAACGTCATGGAATGAGTCGATAGTTGTCCCTGTCTTTAAAAAGGGTTCACGTCGTTCCTGTAACAACTATCGGGAGATAAGTCTACTTCCGATTGCGTCCAAGCTATTGGCTTCCGTCATACTTTGTAGGTTGTTCAAAACCCGAGAAAGATTGACTCGCGAGGAGCAGGCTGATTTTCGTTCTAGTCGAGGATGTATTGATCATATCTTCACCCTCCGTCAAATGTTAGGACACCGCCATACTTTTCAAAGGCCAACAATCGTAGTGTTTCTTGACATCAGGGCTGCCTTCGGCTCGTTGAACAGGACTGTTCTCTGGGATTGTCTATTGAAGAAGGGTGTGCCTGAGAGGTTTCTTAACATCCTAAAGGCCCTATATACAAACACTTCAAGCACAGTGAGGGCATACAACCACCTCTCTCCATTGTTGCATTCAAACAGTAGGGTTAGACAGGGTTGCCCAATCTCACCATTCCTCTTCAACTCTGCCATCGATGACATTCTGGAAGCAGCTCTGATGGATGTAAGTAATGGTGGTGTGGATCTGTTGCCTGGAGAAAGAATTCTCGGCCTTGAGTATGCGGATGATATCGTCTTACTGCGTGATAATGCCCAAGGCATGCGATCCGCACTTAATCAGTTGGCAATCAGTGTCCGTAGGTATGGTATGTGTTTTGCACCTTCGAAGTGCAAAGTACTTCTATAAGACTGGCAGGATTCCAATCCTGTACTTATCCTGGATGGTGAGCAGATAGAAGTAGTCGAGAAGTTCGTGTATCTGGGTAGCTGCATAAGTGCTGGTGGGGGTGTGAGTGATGAGATCAATGCACGTATATTGAAAGCCAGAGCGGCTTATGCCAATCTGGGCCACCATTGGCGCCTTCGTGATGTTAGTCTGGCTGCAAAGGTCGGATCTACAACGCGTCGGTGAGAGCAGTTCTGCTCTATGCTTGTGAAACATGGCCTCTCCGAGTTGACGATGTTAGACGACTGACTCTCTGTATTCGATCATCGTTGTCTCCGAAGGATTGCTGACATCCAGTGGCAACACCATGTTAGGAATGCAGAGGTTCGGCATCGTGTGTTCGGGCACAGAGAAGATAATGCAATTGGTGTCACCATCTTGAAACACCGACTTCGGTGGCTTGGACATGTTCTACGAATGTCGTCCAAGAGAACTCCACGTCGTGCACTATTTGCCGATTCTGGGACTGGTTGGAAAAAGTGGAGAGGTGGTCAGTATACGACATGGTGTCGTGGCATGAAAGAAAGCTGCAAAGGACTGGCTTGTGTTGGTTCTTCATGACTCCCTGGCTGGGGTCCGAGAGATGGTGCAACACAGTGGCTAGAGACGTTGTCAGATATGGCTCAGAATAGAAGCCAGTGGCGATCCTGCTGTAACCTTCTTTTACTTTCTTCATAAAAAATGGTTGTTTCTTCCTTAAGTGAAAGATTTCTTCTGATTGTACCATACCGTTTCCCCCGGTATTATTATTATTGCACTACCTTACACTAATCTGTTCGTTATTGTTCTTTTTCACGCTCCTTACCTTTTTTTCTCTTCGAATACTCAATGTTTTGTGTGGCGCATATATATTTGGTGCCGCCTTGTACCAATATTTATATGTTCAAATAAATAAATGATAATAATAAGTCAACAGGTTGAACAGTTCATACTACTTTGTCTCATATACTACTCATAACTAGAAAAGCAAAGCTTACGAACCTTATTCTTTAACAAAAATAAAGCATTGTAAGCAATAATAAAAATCAGTGATTTATTTCTGGTAATACTTACGTTTTTTGGAGCCAACCGACAAGCAATCATGTGCTTCAGTCGATATCGTTTTTCTGAGAATGGGCGCGTGCAGTACAAACATTGAAAAACGGACTTGTTAGCCAAATTACTTTGATTTTGAGTTGAGATAAGCTCCTCCTTTGTGGGCAGATAAGGTGAAAGTGATAAATAATATTAATATGACTAAGTTTAAAACAAAACAAAGCGCACATATTCAAAAACATAACCGACCGTATCCACCATTAGGGTTTGTCTATTGTGACGAACCAGTCGGCCTATATTTGTTTAAACACTCGTTTGTTTTAGGTCCTACCGAGCCATGTAGGTTTGTTGAGGAGCAGTAAGATAAAAGGCAGCAATTTAAACTACCAAGGTGGAACAGCACTGTTGTGTGTTTTGAGGTGTGAGGGCGATCAGGCGTTTTCTTCAGTCAGCATATAGAACGATGTCCTTTGGGCTACCAGATGGTTAAGTCCGCTGATAATTCAGTCCCTGAAGACGTATTCTTCCACGGTGTAGGTAACTGGAAAGTGATGACCACCTATGTATCTCTAACAGAACTTGATATTACACTGTTAGCGATCAAATCCCGTCTCTGGAAACGATTCCGTTGATTGCGGTTCAAACGAAGCATCAGATTAATCTTAGATGAAACCTCATGGTCTTAGGAATGCTGGAAGCCGAAGTGGAGTAATCGTACCATATGATCCGATGGCTAGTTCTCGTGAACTGGCGATGTAGACATAGCACTAAGTATGAGGGCAGGACAGGCACTATAAGAATGGATACCCGTTAACAATCGCATATGCGCTGTTTGGCTAGACTGCTCCGTAAAATCTCGAAAGGATAGGCGCACACGTTGTTGCCTTTTTGTCGTTTCTGCCTACGCTCCCACCGACTGCATCTCAGATGAAGTGAAAGATGAATTTTACAGAAAGCTATCTGAATTTCTTCAGAAAGCTAAACGTTCAGACATAGTACTCGTGGCAGGTGACTTTAATGCCCAGATAGGTTGTTTAAACCAAACAGAAAGACATTTAAATGGATATTTTAGTATTCCGGCTCAGCGAACAGATGATGGTGATCGTCTCCTGCAACTGTGCCCAGACAATCGTTTATTTTTAGCAAACACAAATTCTAAGCATAAGGAGACACCGTCTAACATGGAGACCCCCTACACCAAACCAACGATGGACTCAAATAGACCATATTGCCATCAGTCATCGTTGGAGAGGATCGGTAGAAGATTGTCGCTCATTCTGGAGTACCTGCTTGGACTCCGACCACGCCCTAATACAGGCACGGATCTCCTTGCGTCTCACTGGACGCAAAACAGCCACAGTAAAAAGACCCATTAGAACTGAATTGAGTAGCAAGGAAACCAAAAGTAGGTTCCAGGAACAACTGAGGTCACAGTTAGGTAGTTCTGAAAACGAGGTTGACTCAGATGTTGCTTGAAAAGCTATACAAACAGCTGTGGAAACAGCAGTGACATCTATCAGTGATTTAAACCACAGGGTTACAAAGAACCAATGGATTTCCTCAAAGTCTATTGCACTGATGGATCATCATAAACTCATCCCATCAGGCTCTGAACACGATGAAGAGCGACAACAAATCAGATCTAGGTTAACCAAAAGTCTAAGGGACGACCGTGAGCAGTGGTGGGCAGCGAAAGCAAAGGAGATGGAAAAGGTGGCGGCTATAGGGAACACAAGACAGCTCTACAGACTAATAAAAGAAACTGGAATTAATAAGTCAAGTGTAAGTGAGATTATTTCGGAAAAAGACGAAACCCTCATCTGCTCTCAGTGCAGACGTTTAGAACGATGGGCGGAATATTTCAGAGAACAGTTCAGCTGGCCTTCATCTACTCTACAACTACCCTCCATTCCCAGACAGTGTGAATGGAACATTGAAGTAGGTCCCACAACTCTAGCAGAAGTTCAAAAGGCTATAGTTAATCTGAAACAAAGTAGGGCAGCGGGTCCAGACGGATTGGCTCCAGAAGTCTTCAAGGATGGTGGTCCAATTTTAGCGATTAGGTTGACTAATATTTTAGCTAAGATCTGGGAGTTAGACGTTATTCCATCTGACTGGTCACAATCACTTATCGTCCTAATATATAAGAAAGGATCAAAATCATCTTGTGACAACCACAGAGGGATTAGTTTAACTAATATAGTATCTAAAATACTAGCCTCAATAATAATCAGACGCCTAACTAAGACTCGTGAACTGCAAACACGAGAGAATCAAGCTGGCTTCAGACCTGGTCGTGGCTGCATCGACCACATATTCACCATTCGTCAGGTTCTAGAACACAGGCATACTTATCGGCGTCCGACAATGGTGGTCTTTCTTGAATTAAAAGCAGCATTCGACTCGGTAGACCGCGAGATTCTGTGGCAGTGTCTGTCATTGAAAGGCGTACCCCAGAGGTACATAAACCTTGTAAAGGCTCTTTACTCGAACACTACTAGTCGAGTCAGAGCTTATGGCGAACTGTCATCTACTTTTGCAACCTCAAGTGGTATCATTCAAGGCTGTCCACTTTCTCAATTTCTGTTTAACTTCATCATAGACCTACTTATGGAAATAACATTCTCGTCGACTGAATTCTCGGGTATTGATCTCCTTCCAGGAGGTCCACTTATCGACTTAGAATACTCAGATGATATAGTCCGGTTTGGTGAAGACGCTGTTAAAATGCAGAGTCTTCTGGTAGCACTAAGCAATAATGCCAGAATGTTTGGAATGCGCTTCTCTCCCTCTAAATGCAAGTTGTTGCTTCAGGACTGGCCTGTGTCAACACCTGAACTAAGGATAGGGAGTGAAGTAGTCGACGCGTTGACAACTTCACTTATCTTGGAAGTCTGATCAGCCGTAATGGGTTGGTGTCTGACGAAGTCTCAGCACGGATTCGAAAAGCTCGTTTGGCTTTTGCCAAATTACGTCACCTGCGTAGAAGGCGAGATACCCGTCTATCAACAAAAGGACGAGTTTACTGCAGCGGAACATGCCCATTAAGAGTAGAAAACACTCGTAAGCTACTAGTATTTGACCACAGATACCTTAGAAATATTGCTGGCGTCTGCTGGGATCACCGGGTAAGTAATAGTGAGGTGAGACGCAGGGTATTAGGGAATGATGGTAAATCAGTTGATGAGGTTGTGAATCTTCATCGACTGAGAAAGATAGGCCACGTGTTGCGTATGCGTGAACACTGATTATCACGACGTGCAATGCTGACTACCGTTGGAAGAAAGTTAAGGGCAGCAAAACCAAAACGTGGCATCAGTACTTGAAGTCACTAACTTGTAGTCTGAGCCATGTTGGTAGATGCAGACTACTTGGTTGGGGTCCGCGTGACTAACGTAACCAATGGTTGGAGACTCTGGGTGACATGGCTCAGAGTCGATCACAATGGCGTAGGTGTATGCACTCTCTGTCTTCCCTTAAACTGAGAGATTAAAATCGCTTCATATATTTCTTTCTACGAACCAATTCGTTCTTCTTGTACTATATCCTTATTGCAATCTTTCTTCTATATATTACCACCTCTGAATTAACGACTTTTATGAATCCGGTGTCCATCTTGTTGTGTTAATGAAGTGTGGCAACTTGGACCGATGCATATATGTGCCTGGTCCTACGTTGTAGCTGACTGACTGACGTAGCTGTCTGCTGTAACTATGTTCAGACAATCATTTAATTCTAGTAAGCACGAACTTAACATATACGGAGAGACAATACCTAACATGGTGATCCCAAAATTCGATTCAACGATGGACTCAAACAGACTATTACCACCAGCCACTGTTGGAGAAGCCTGAAAGAAGATTACGTCTTCCTTTCGATCACATGTTCAAACTTTCATCGTGAGTTATTGTGAGCACACATTCGAATGACTTCTTCTAGGTGGAGAAAAGCTACAACAATAATAGTTCAACTCAATAATGCAAAAGTTGGGTTTATGTATGAGGAACCAGAGAAGCATTTATTACTTTTAAAAGCGATGTTTGCCCCGATGGGATATGATATGAAAGCTAAACAGTTGTACATCAGTGAACTAAACTAAAAGGTTCGAAAAGCAAATCAATTTCGATGATGTCTACTGCGTTGGCACACGATGAGAAACTCATCTCAATAGGCTCCGAACAGGATCGGTAGTAAAGACAACTTAAATGTAGATTGATGGAGAGTTTATATAATGATAGTGAGCAGTGTTGGGCAACGAAAGCAAAAGACATGGAAAAAACAAAAGGTAATTGTTAAAACAATACAGTTGTTCAGTAACCAATTGCAGAGATGTTTAATGATGGTGAGTCAGTTTTAACACTTAAGTTAACTGAGCGAGATAAGCTGATGTTAGACACATAGTACTAGCTAAGGATGGCAAAGCAATTGATAAGGTAATGAATTTTTATCAAGTGAGGTGGTTGATAAGTGTTTTACGTATTCCCCAATTACCGCTTACCTAAAGGAGCGATGTTTGACAGTGTAGGAAGAAGAAGAAGAAGAAGAACACAACCCCGTCCATCAAGTTCTTGGATGTGAGCTGCACTCTAAATGCAACCCCTAATGATAATACCCGGTTGCGCAAATTGGATTAGGTGGAGCGGGGTTCGAACCTGGTACGTAGTAGCCATATAACCCGCTGGGATCAATAATCAAAAAATACTAAAATACATGTGACATTATCTAGAAAAGAATTATATTTAGCTTCCGAGTTTAACTTATTTTACTCAAACGAAGTTTGCGCTTTAACTACTAATCTAATTGGAATCCACAACTCCAGGTGAACAGTTGTATTCATTTATCAAGCACATGAACAAAACGCTTCAGAAATCTTAAAAACGATAGGTCTTCACTAACGAAATTTTCTTCATAATGGTCCAAAATACATAAATATATAATTTAATGTTTTTGAAACATTGTAAATACCTTTGGAAGTTTGGATGACTTTTTCAATCTCAAAGATGGCCGTTGTGTTGCCACATGAGTAATTGTGAATGAATTATTGGTCAATGAATGATTTTGCTGAGATGCAGTACTTCCGCTGAGTTCTCTTAAGTTTAATTCATTAGATATATGATTTTCATGATCACAGGCACCACATGGAGAGCGACATGACACCTTTTGACAATGTATTGAATTCTACAATTATAAAGGTCGGTAACAAATTTTTGAAATATATACCAAATACATAACATAAAAAATCCCCATAATACAAGGAATTTATAGTACGACTAACTATCCCGTTTAATTACGTGAGATCGTTAGCTACTTTTACTAAAATATAACATCATTTAGCCCCTAATTATTAAAAACACATACAGAGATAATTCTGGGCTTTTCTCAAAGTGAATTATAGTTTTCTGGTAGGAGCATTGTTGGTTAAGATTAGGTAATGTACCACGAACAAAGTTTCGTAATGAAGAAAGATAAATGTTATTTTATAATAAAACGGGGTTTAGTACAGTCAAAATCGTTGTTTTGTTTACCAAAGGAGCTAGATTGTTAGTTTTAAGAAAATGAGGCAAATATCACGTTAGCTAAAAAACAGCCAATAACTGAGACGTGAAAGAATGCATACTCTTAAAAAAATATTAACATGGTAATTGTTTCGCGGGTAAAGTACTTAGTGCTTTCTCGTCATTTGCTGAAAAGTGTTCTCCGTAGTCGTAGAGGTAATAAGAGTATAAGCAGTAATCGGAAAGATTAGTGTTTGGAGATGTTACTTAAAGAGTATAATACAGTGAAATAAACTTGGGAAGAGAGAAAAAAGAGACAAGGGGGAATCAGGAGATCAAAATTCGGGAGAACACAAAGAGTGGATGCACCTGCGCCATTGCAAACGATTTTGAGCCATGTCATTCAAAGTCTCTAACCATCGGTCGCTATCATCTCGCGGTCCCAAACCAGGTAGTCTACACCTACCAACATGACTCAGACCACTTGTCACTGACTTCATGGACTTGTGCCATGTTTTGGTCTGGCCGCCCCTAGCTTTCTTCCAACCTACTCCTATACCACTGAACATCGCACGCCGAGGCAGTCGGTGGTTGGGCATACGTAACACGTGTCCCAGCCATCTCAACTGATGAAGTTTCACCACTTCATCAATTGATTTGCCATCCTTACCTAGTACCCGTTTCCTAACAACTGTGTTACTTACTCGATGGTCCCAGGATATACGAGCAATGTTTCGAAGACACCTATGATCGAATACTAGTAACCTACGAATATCCTCTACTCTTACCGGCCACGTTTCACTGCCATAAAGTAGGACGGGACGAATTGCTGCGCAGTAAACCCGTCCTTTGGTTGATAGACGGATATCTCGCCTACGCCATAAATGACGCAAGTTGGCAAAAGCTAGTCGAGCCTTCTGTATCCGTGCTGAGATTTCGTCACATACCAGACCACAAGGGCTGATGAGACTTCCAAGATAAGTGAAGCGGTCGACACACTCAACTACTTCACTCCCTATCACTAGTTCGCGTGTCGATGTAACCCAATCCTGAAGCAACATTTTGCATTTCGAGGGAGAGAATCGCATCCCGAACATGCTTGCATTGTTGCTTAGAGTGGTCAGAAGACTCTGCATTTTGTCAGCGTCTTCACCAAATAAAACTATGTCATCAGCATATTCTAAGTCAACAAGTGTACCTCCCGGTAGAAGTTCAACCCCTGGAAATTTAGATGAGGAGAGTGTCATCTCTAAAAGTACGTCGACCACAAAGTTGAACAAGAATGGAGAGAGTGGACAACCCTGACGAACACCACTTGAGGTAATCAATTCTGATGACAGTTCGCCATAAGCTCTCACTCTACCAGTTGTGTTCGAGTAGAGAGCCTGAATAAGGTTAATGTACTTCTTTGGTACTCCTTTCAGTGACAAACACTGCCATAGAACCTTACGATCAACAGAGTCGAATGCCGCCTTAAGGTCGAGAAATACTACCATTGTGGGCGTCTAAACGTGTGTCTGTGTTCTAGAACCTGACGTAGTGTGAATATTTGGTCTATACAACCACGTCCAGGTCGAAAACCGGCCTGATTTTCTCTAGTTTGCTCTTCACGAGCATTGGTTAGGCGTCGAAGTATTATTGAGGCTAATATTTTAGACACTATATTAGTCAAACTGATTCCTCTGTGATTGTCACAAGAGGACTTTTGTCCTTTCTTATAAACTGGCACAATCAGTGATTGAGACCAGTCGGATGAAATTACGTCCAGTTCCCAAATCCTACCTAAGACCTCGGTTAATCTCATTGCTAATACTGGACCACCATCCTTAAAAATCTCAGGAGTAAACCTGTCAGGGCCTGCTGCTCTCCCTCGTTTCAGATTTCCTATGACTTTTTCAACTTCGTAAAGGGACGGAGGACTTACATTAACTTGCCATTCAGGTTGACTAGAGATCGTGGGAAACTGAAGTGTGGCTGAAGGCCAGTTGAACTGACCCCTGAAGTGTTCTGCCCATCGATCCAATCTCCTGGATTGGGAATGAATAATATGTCCATCTTTCTCTGAGAGTGCTTCGCTAACAGTCGGTTTCCTAATTCCGGTTTCCTTAACGAGTCTGAACAATTGTCTGCTATTACCTATTGCCGCTGCCTTCTCCATCTCTCTTGCTTTCGCTACCCACCACTGTTCGCGATCATTGCGTAAACTTTTTGTCAGCTTGCGCTTAAGCTGACTCCGCTCTTCACTATGTTCAGAGCCAGGTGGAATGAGTTTCCGAGCATCTATCAGTGCGATAGATGCTGCTGAGATCCAGTGTTGCTCCCTAGCCTTCTGGTTTACCTTACTAGCAGATATCACTGCTGTTTCCACAGCTTTTCGGATATTATTCCATGCTGCCTCGGGGTGGGTATCACATACATGGTTGCCTAACTGTTTTCCTAGTTGTTCCTGAAATATACTCTTTGCTTGACTATCACTAAGTAGGGCCCTAAGAGGTTTCCTTGCAGCGTCTTTCCTACGTCCAGTAAGACGCAAGCAAATACGCGCTCACACTAGAGCATGATCTGAATCTAAGCATGTGCTCCAGAATGAGCGACAGTCTTCTATCGAGCCCCTCCATCGGTGGCTGATAGCGATGTGATCTATTTGGGTCCAACGCTGGGAGGAATTAGTGGGTCGCCATGTTAAAAGATGTTTTTCCTTATGATTAAAGTTAGTATTTGCAAGGAACAGGCGATTATCTGAGCATAGCTGCAACAGACGGTCGCCATTATCTGTTCTTTGAGCCACGACACCATAAGATCCACCTAGGTGTCTTTCCCTATCGCTTAGTTAACCTACTTGAGCATTAAAGTCACCGGCCACTATCACGACATCCGAGCGCCTAGCTTTTTGGAGAAGGTCGGAAAGCTTTCTGTAAAACTCATCTTTTACATCATCTGAGCTGCAGTCAGTGGGAGAATAGGCAGAAACGACGAAGAGGCAACGACGAGTGTCCCTATCTTTCCGGATTCTTACTGTTCCGTTCAGTCGGACAGCGCACAAACGGCTGTCTACTGGGATCCACTCTAAGAGAGTTAGTTCTGCTCTGGGACTCAATGCTATACCTACGCCGGCGAGGCCACGGGAAGCAGAATCAGGGCTTCCAGATACACGAAGTGTGAATCGAGTCGGTTCTTTATTTTGACATGATGAGGTCAGATGAATGACGCTACTTGGATCCTGTATGCGTGTTTCTAAAGTCTTCTAAAGTCCTAGCTAAGGAAGCCTGCTGTCCTATTTGGCACAGTGTTCGGACGTTAAAAGCTCCTACGTGTAGTTTAGAGCGTGGTTTCAGGAGACCAGGAATAGCGTTCCACATACTCGAATCGTTTGCCCTAGTGGTGCGAGGTGATAAAGAGACGTGAGGAGGGTTAGTCATGGAGATAAGAGAGGTATTAGGAGGTGTAGGAAGGATTTGAATGTGATCAACTTGGTCTCGTGTGCTGTTACGGGTATGAAGGCTGATGTCACTTCCCGGCTGCCCACACCGTAGAAGGGTATTACGACAGTTACGTACAAAACAAATTGTGATATAAAACATAGATTATTTAAGCAACCTTTTTAAAATATTCACTTATTTGCGTAGTATGCAGTTTGTAAGTTATCAAATTAATAAGATACAGGACAAAAATTATTGTGAAGAGGTAGCATGTAACCTGACAGATGTCCAATTAGGATTTTTACGTTCTTTGGAGAACAAAATAATTAACCCAGGTGAGGTAATCTGCCCAGCTAAAATTAAATTTTCTACCCCTGCCAGCTACTAGAAATGCCCATCCAGAAACTCCATCGTAGTGAAGTTTAAAAGCCCCTTACTAGGTTTTAATTTTTAAAAAACTTACACTGGTATCAAAAGCAAAATCAGGCGATTGCACACCGTTGTGCAAATTTTCCTTTGCTATGCATGTAAAAGTGTCTTTTGTTCTGCGAATTCGAACTGAAGGTGACAACTTTCTTTTTTTACTGTTATGATTGCCAATGAGAATTTGGTTTTGGTTTTGCCTTTGAGAGTGTATATCTAGCTGGTCTGAAGATACTTCGGAGTCATTGGAGGCGGTGGCAAAATGGGAAGATCTTCGTTTTCTTGTTTCAGCACGGTTTTTAACCGGGATACTTGATAAAGTGAAATCAGGACTGCTGAAATCAGATGATTCGCCTCCCCTTGCAGGGACACTTTTACTGTGATGTTCTTCGGAAGACGAATAGCCACCATTAGTTAATAACTTGTCATGTTCTGTACTACACCGAAGAGGTGCTAACTTTACATTTCCAACAAATTCGTTTGCTTTTATAGGAGATAAGCAAGGGGATGCACGACTATCACCTTCTTGTTTTGATTTAATTGGAGATCTTGAATCTGTCGTTTTTGTAACTAACGTTCGAGATAAATCATCAGTTTTTAACGACAGATTTCGAGGCTTTTTAGGTAGATTTATAAAACTGTCCCAGTCTAAAAGCGACCGTCTTGCTTTCTGTGGATATTCACTTGAACTGTGTAAATTTGAGTGGTTTGAATGTGAACCAGCTGAAGTAAACGTCATCTGTCTATCACTTGAGCTTTCTTTGGATTCATTAATATTTTTCTGACTTACAACAACGTCACATACATCTCCAGCGGATGAATGCTTTATGCCAACCTTTTGGCAATCATATTCCTTGACTGTTTTATTCGAAGTCGAATTTAAACGAAGCACTCCACTTGAATCTGAAACATAACAAGCGACCTTTTTAAATATCTGGTTAACATTCGTAGACAGGAAAGCAAACTTTATCTATTGCATATGGAATAGGTTGTCAATTACCGAAAAAAAAGCGTTTAATGTAATTTAGTTAACCTGGTAATCAGATATAACTTTTACATGACGAAACCACAATTATTTTTTAGACTGACAATACTAGCTTGTGGTTCAAGCGGAAATTGGGTGAAAACTAATGGTTCGAGGGTTACAAAATGATTAGAACTCCACAGTAGTTTTGAGCACTGTTTCTAAATAACAGGCTGCCGGTTCAAACCCTAATTCGATTATAGAAGTTTGGGCAGTCGGAAAGTAACAATTTTATGGAGTGCTGCCTAAAGCTGAGTAAACAAAACTGCTCTCAAAAATGAGAACTCCAACAAGCCGAAATTTCAGTTACGATGTAAAGAAACTGTTACTGTGTAGTAACCACAAACACTACTAAATAAATTCAATAACATACAAGTAAGCCATATTCATTACAAATTAGTCGTGATAAATGTTAAAACCACTTCACAAAACCAGGTATTAGGATTATAAATATGAGCTTATCATAAATTGCTTCGAATCCTCACTAAAATAGGCCAAAAATAAGGAATTCATGAATCCGGGACCTCGTATCGTTTGTGTAAAAAAACACCGAAGATAATTATGTTACGTACCTTCAGAGAACTTCATGATGTACTGCCCTAATTATTCTGTAGATTTTGAAATCTGTTTTTGATCATATGTATCACAAGTAGCATTTGCTGGGATCCTCCTTCAGATGACAAAATTTGAAACAGAACCAACTTATTCATATTTTTAAAAATACATTTGTGTTTGTGTTTCCACTGGGAAGATTATCGGAGCAATTACACTGTATGCAGCAAAATAAAGACAGATGACTTTATAAAAAGTTGAAAGCAAAGAGAAAAACAAATGGTATATTAACAAAAGTAGCGACAAATTTGTGATAGAAGGGAAAAGAACTCGCACATAAAATAAGTCATTGAATATTCTCAAGAAATCAGACGACACAATGTTTTCTATTATAAAATATCAGAGATAAGTAATCAAGTCCCATAATAGTCATGATCTTCCTTATCGTTCACATCAACTAGTCTCTATCAACCGCTTGTTATTTCGGTATCATGGACAGGCTCATCAATTGTGACAACCTAAGCGAGTTTTATACGTGAGTGCTTGCAGTCATAGAAGAAATTCCAGTAACCGAGAAGTCTTGGAGAAAGAAGTATGTCACTGAGTTACTTTATTCGTAATATGGGGGTAGTCAGTCAGTCAGCTACAACGTAGGACCAGGCACATATATGCATCGGTCCAAGTTGCCACACTTCATTAACACAACAAGATGGACACCGGATTCATAAAAGTCGTTAATTCAGAGGTGGTAATATATAGAAGAAAGATTGCAATAAGGATATAGTACAAGAAGAACGAATTGGTTCGTAGAAAGAAATATATGAAGCGATTTTAATCTCTCAGTTTAAGGGAAGACAGAGAGTGCATACACCTACGCCATTGTGATCGACTCTGAGCCATGTCACCCAGAGTCTCCAACCATTGGTTACGTTAGTCACGCGGACCCCAACCAAGTAGTCTGCATCTACCAACATGGCTCAGACTACAAGTTAGTGACTTCAAGTACTGATGCCACGTTTTGGTTTTGCTGCCCTTAACTTTTTTCCAACGGTAGTCAGCATTGCACGTCGTGATAATCAGTGTTCACGCATACGCAACACGTGGCCTATCTTTCTCAGTCGATGAAGATTCACAACCTCATCAACTGATTTACCATCATTCCCTAATACCCTGCGTCTAACCTCACTATTACTTACCCGGTGATCCCAGCAGACGCCAGCAATATTTCTAAGGTATCTGTGGTCAAATACTAGTAGCTTACGAGTGTTTTCTACTCTTAATGGGCATGTTCCGCTGCCGAAGGTGGTTACTTCGTTACCGGGAATATGGGGGTAGGACTATCTGTAAATATATTGTGTATTTTACGAAGACAGACCTTTAGGATCACAGATTATAAAGTCGTTTATACAAGTATATACTTGCAACCAGTGTTAACTATTCCACCCAATTCGGTCGACCGAAGGTTTAATGCTAGAAAAAATTGAAGCGAAATATAATGCATTTTAGGTAAACAAGATGAAAATTCTTTCAAAAGAATTCATCAAAAAATTTCACAGGTTACCCAACTTGAATGAAGAATTATAGGGTCTTTGATGCTATAGTGGTTACTCGCGGATGAAAACAATGATGTTTAGTCATAATATTCACACTCTACTCATGAAATAACTGCCTAACAGCTTCTATAGTCTAAATATGTTGGATCGATCTATCCAAACAACCTTATTTGAATGTGTGGACGGCATGGTGGAAAAGATTTGTGGCTCAGGTGGATGATTTTGGTGGTTTTGTTCTCTGAGCTGGGTGGTTTGGTCGTGCAGCTTTCATCGTTCTTCTGAACAAAAATCAAACCAATGGGAGACACAACCAAAACAAAGAAGTAAACAATGACAAATTTAAGATCAATAAGAACCAATCAACATCGAGGTGCACAGAACAAGCTGTGAAACGCGTATGGTGAAATTCGAACACTTCACTTCTATCTGAAGTTTGTGCTGGTGATGTCGTTCAGAAGAACGATGAAAGCTCCACGACCAAACCATCCAGCTCAGAGAACAAAACTTCACCAAAAGTATAGACGGTATAAATAATGGCCAATAGATGCATGACATTGTCAGTCGATACCAACCCTGCTACTAGCGGCAAAAGATAGTTTTGTATCCTGACCAAACAAGTTGGTCTGAAAAACAACGACTGGATGATTGAACAAGTAACCACTGGAAACGAATATCAGCAGATGTCATGAAACAAACGGATAACGACAATACTCACTAGTTTAAAATTAATGAATTACTGTCCAGTTTAAGCCTGAAAATAGCTGTAAAAGGGGAAATTCAGTGCAGAATGTATGGAGACAGACTAATGTCTACCGAATACTGTAATTACTTTTGTAAAGCCTTCCAAATAACAGGTGAAAATGTATCATACTTTCCAACCGGTACCCTAGATGTAATCAGGAACATGCAGTTCCAACACAACTTTTCATAATTCATGGTCTTGGTCCCACGCTTAACTGTATGCTAAAGAATGATTTTGCTACAATATCATGTATACCAAACCATACGTATGATTTAGTTGTGCCGTCCAAAATAGAGGCCATTAGATGAATTAAATATGGTAATGAGGCTTGTTTTCATCATAAAACCTTAAATTACTTAGACTACTTATCGTAAAACATGGCCAAGACATACTTAGACATTTTGAAGGCAAATATCTTATTAGTACTCTAAACAAAGTATAATGCAATTAATAGATACTCCCTCTATGTAGCTTTCAGACCCACTTGGTGTAGTGATGGCTCTATTGAATGAATCAATTAAAAGAGGTTGTAAACAGACACAGAACTAATAGGTCCAATAAGTAAACACTTTACTTCTCTGAATTACCCGCTAAGCCCTTAAAATAGCGATTTCGTAAGCATCATAGGGATATCAGTGAGATAAAGATGAGTGAGGTGCTCTTTAACGCCCCAGAATCACTTTCAGAAGTATACACACTGAAGCGTTATAACGTCTCACGGAGAACAGCTATCCAAAAATGTACACTATAGTAAACAGTGTGTAGAATTACGAAGGAAATACGATTAGATTTTAATTAACACTATATTTTTTCCGGGTCACAAACCTTTTATTGCGCTCTCGAAACTAACTAACACAGTAAAGACAAGGTCAAATTTCGCAAAAACCCCTTTACCGCGCACAACTACAAATTGAAATGGGACCACTGAAATGAGTTCAAATAAATCCCATTCATAACTCATAGATTTTACAAACTAATATGCACCACTTTATCAAGCATCTTTCATTGCATGATACTAAATTATTTCCATGGGCCTCATCTTCGGTTCTAAAGGGTCATTCTTTGGTTATGTAGAGCCAGTGAAATAACACGCCCCTTGCCAAATCATCCAGGAGACAGGTCACTGAATACCAAACAGTTTTCCAATCCTTTTCAACGTCAAGAACAAATAACACGCACTGGTTAATTACATACCTTGTACTAGACTATGCGGCAGTGGTCGCACTCTGTATCTTGTACCTGTTCTTGCCAACACATCTCTGCATTATCGTTATTTTCTTTCTACAGTCATCAAAGTAGCCATATTACCTGGACACGACGAAAGGGTAGTCCATATTACGCACAAACAGCGGCATGTAACTTTAACGTAGGCTGGATGATCAGACCATACCCGACCAACTCGAGTAGGCCCCCAATCAACGACATAGGTAACCTACGTTGGTAATCTATGGTTGTCGAGCTCGAACTTATATAAAGATAATGTTACAAACGGCGTCGCTAAATATGAAGGCATTTTCCTTCCTGTCATGCCAACGGAACCTTTGTTCGACTTCAACTTTAATAACTTCAGTTAAAGTCGTGTCACTTTATTACGTTTAGCACTGTAATTATATATTTTTTTAATACCACTTTGGTGGTTCAGCTTCGACAGAGACCAACAACATTGGTACTAGTTTTTCAATACCTCGTACATCCATGTGCACTAGTACTCTCTTGACATTTTGGTACACTGTCACGGTTTCAGGTTGTCACGCCTATACAATGTTCGGTTTTGCTCATCAGTATAGTCAATCCCATTTGTATATGTGACAGTAAATAATCGCCAAGGCAAACAATTCAGTGATTTCTCGACACTGATGCCTACATCGCTGGTTCGGTAAATCATCCCATCGGGTCATTTTTGGGTATGCCGTGCTACGTATCACACAATTCTCGTAATATCGACTATCCTCCTAGGTTGACTTCATTGTCCTTCATGAACATCTTCAGGTTTGACTAGACTTGGGATCTTCGATAACAAAGATTTTACAAACGAAAGTGCCGTCAAGCTCTGAATATCCATGACACCCTCAATGGTGACCTTGACGTGGTCTCGTAAATGATAAACTGTGAGTTGTAACGTTATTTGTATACTTTTTACGCATGTCGACATTAATTCTCTATACTCGGGTGTTTTTTGCACATTTTACTTTTTAAGCGTTGAGACACGCTCGGACTTCCAAGGATTAAGATACGTATACCCCCACCTTGCTACTCATGCCATTCTGGCCTGACAATATCGAATCCAGGCTTTGCTATGCATATGATAACTTCCATGAGCATAGAGTGGAGGACCACGTCGTCACAGCGATAAAGCCATAACCGTGTGACTTAGACCAGAAAGTTACACCGAATATGTTTGTGTTTTGATGAACCCGAACTCTACGAAACTTTGAAAAGGGGCATCCTTAAATGTGGAGATCCAACCCATCGACAAAGGTAACGTCACCTACTTCACAGAATCGAGTTGTAGCATAGCTCGGCAATGAAAATGTTGCTGCTTGTATGAAAAGGCACTAGTCGACGAAAATTTTCAAGCAAATATTATCTAGGCTCCCCCAACAGGCACAAGCGATTTTCGTCTCATTTTAATGTAATGCCGTAACCAAACTGGCCGCATTTGTTAGCTGGACACTTAGGATAACTAGAACCCCGGTTACAACAAGAAAAGGCTTCATATAACTCTAAACGAAAACGCAGATCTCTACAGTACTCTCAGTCGTTTCCTGAACACTCATCATGATCTCAGATGCTCCGAAACCTGGTACAACACCATAATCTACTCCTCAATATATGCAAACAGAGGTTAGTACATGGTAATATTAATCTACCGGTTTTTGGAACTACCATACATAATCCGATGACAAACCATTAAAGATGCCACAGACATTTGAAGTTTGAAAATGATTTAACCAGTAACACTTTCTTGTATGAATCGTACCCACCAAATGAAATCAAAAGACAGAAGCGAGGAAGTTCGAAGATATATTTGATAGGCTATCAATATACCGAGGATCGACTGATCTAATATGGCTAGCGGTTACATGGGACGTTCAGCACGGCCTTCCACTCGTGATGTGGTGCGGACGAGTGATGGAGCACGCTCAGCTACGTGAGTCCATTAAAACTAATGTGGTCAGTATCCAATGTCGAAGACTTACAGAGCTATTTATTTTGTGGATTTATTTACCGCCACAGATCTCCCCCTCTAGTGGGGAAGTGACGACCCTAAGACGTGGCCAGTCAGAAGTTTAAACCCAACGAGATTGTCGTTGGCAAACACTCTTCTGATAGGTTGTAAGGTTTAGCATTTTCCTGTCGTGAAATACATATAGTAGAAATTAATAATAAGTTTTCGACCCATCGTAAACTTCGTCGTTCTTTTTCTTCCTTTCCAACCGTCCTGGAAAAAAAACTGATATGTTAGTGCATGTCGAAATACACTCTTACGTGTGATAAAACACAAAGCGGGCTAAAAAGAAGAAAATAAACACACATGATAGCTTAAAAATTGATTTTTACAAAATGATTTTTTGTTTTTTTCGAAATAAAATTATGAATATATAAGCATATTAAAAATTTTTTTACTTATATAGATTACAAAAGAAAATCGATATGATATAAAATGTCAACTAGTACCTTACGTGCAGTAATCGTCCAAATATTCTGGGAGTTGTATTTGTAGTAGTATGGTCTACTATGATATTAGTACTGCTCTAATAATAAACCTAATCCTAAAATTGTAGATTTGCCATGATATAACTGCCTAACCTATAAGATCTTACGTGGAAGTCACACCGTCGATCACACCAACTCACTGTGTCGTATCAAATACCAATACATGATGGAGAACAAGGTTAGGCTAGAGAAGGAACAATATATTTAATATGGATAGAAGATATAAAGTAACATTCAGAGGGACCACGCCTGCATGACCGAGCCATGCCATCCGATCAACTCTAACTCATTCAACTCATTCTTCCCGCCTTCTCCATCGTTAGGTATTTCTCCGCGTTAAATATTGAATATCTATTCTCCGAGTTTTCTCGTGTTCAGCTTTGAGGATTGTGTGGTTATGGTCCAATGCCACTACAAAGTCTTAGTCTTCTTAAAGAATGCGTTGTTTTAAGTTTATTTTCAGATACTGCTGAAGTATCCTCGTGCGTATTGGTTGTCGAGTGAGGTATTGTAAGTTCAGGAGCCGTGTCATTCGATTGTACCGAGGGAGAATCGACGTGAATAGAATTTCCTTCTAAATACGCTGCTTTTGAGGCGATCGATCCTGACGCTATCGTTGTTTACGTCCTTATCGATTATACAGCACTTAGGTTCGCGTCGAAGAACCTTGAAGGGTCTTTCGTATGCTGATTCGAGAGGTCGTCGATATGAGTCTCGATGAACGAAGACGTGTGTACTATATCGTAAGTCAGGTTGAACGAAAACATCAGTTGATTGTGGTCGAGTGGAAACAGGTTTAACTGAACGCATTGCGTTTGTAAGCCTGCTCATGTAGGAGTTTAGATCAATGTTCACTGAAAAAGATGAAGGATCCACGAATTCTCCTGGAAGTCGAAGTGTCGCTCCATAAACGAGTTGGGCTACAGTATATCCAAAGTCATCTTTCACTGCATTGCGAATACCTAGTAAGATGAGTGAAAGAACGTCAGTCCACTGGGAAATGTTTGCAGCTGATAGTGAAGCTTTTAGTTGTCGGTGAAAGCGTTCTACCAACCCGTTTGCTTGTGGATGGTAGGCGGTCGTTCGGAAGGGAGTGATTCCTAATAATGTGGTCAGAAAACGGAAAGGTCCAGATTCCAACTGGCGTCCGTGATCTGTAGTGATGGTTGAAGGGCAGCCGAAGTTTGCTACCCATCGTTCGACAAAAGCATGGGCCACTGTTTCAGCAGTGATGTCCTTGATAGGTACTTCTTCTGGACATCAAGCAAAACGGGCCACGTAGTTTAAGAGATAAGAGTATCCATTTGAATTTGATAAATGTCCTACCAAATCCAGATGAACATGGTCAAAACGAGCGTCTGGAGTTTTAGATGAACCTAAAAGCATTTTTTGTGCCTAATAAACTCGGATTTCCGGCAGCTTACACAGAAGCATGCCCACTCCCTCACGTCTTTATTCATGCCAGACCAGCAAAACCGTTCTGCTATGAGTTTGATTGTTGCACGAACACCTGGATGAGAAAGTTTGTGTAACGTGTTGAAGATGTTGCGTCGATAATGTTTCGGTATTATTGGGCGATCCCTACCTGTAAATGTGTCACAAAGTAAGGTTTCCTTACCTGTCCCCATCTGTTTGATGCGTAGCTTGAGTGTTGTAGACGATAACTCGTTCTGAAAATCAGTGTCTTCTTTTTGAAGCTGGGCGGGTTTCAGAAGGTCGATTCCTTGGAAACTGTTCAAGAAAGTTACTCGAGACAAGGCGTCTGCAACTACATTTTTTGCTCCAGAAATGTGTTGGATGTCTGAAGCAAACTGCTAAATATAGTCCAGTTGTCGAGAATCACGAAGTGAGTACCTGTCTGAGGAAAATGTTAAAGAGAAGGTAAGCGGTTTATGGTCAGTGAAAAGGGTAAATTCGTGACCTTTGATATAGTGTTGAAAATGCCGTACAGCACAATACATAGCTGTGAGTTCCCTACCAAAAGCGCCATACCTCAATTCAGTGTCTAGCAACCGTCTAGGGAAAAATGTCAAAAGTTGCGAGGAGTGGTTAATCCATTGTTGTAAGATTCCTCCGATTGCTGAGTCGGATGCGCCTAGTGCGGTACTAATGGATGCTTCAATGTCCTGATGTGCAAGCATTATTGTTTGAGCGATAAGTTCCTTAACTGTGGAAAATGCTTTTCGCAAGGTATCGTC